TCGTTGTTCTCATCTTCGTTGTTGTCAGCGCTCTTGCGTGTTCTAATTACTGGAGCGTTCATTCCCTCAAAGAATCGTGCCTGTCGTGCCTGTCTTGCTTCAGTCTTTGGAAGCAACAGAGACACAGGGAGATCCCGTCGGACTCAGAGGCCTGTCCCGTCAGACCTCACTCGGATTTAATTTGTGCCACAGAGGCTTCAGATATTCGGATTGACTTTGAGCCCTCTGTCAGGAACAGAGAACATATTTAGATACCGCGACACCATGGAGGACACACAAACTACGCCGATCACTGTGCTCAAACGCCGCACCCAATGCCTCACATCCATACATAGAGCCAACTCGACATCTAGCTCTCTTTCGAGCCTGTCATATCCACAGATCCCTTCTCGCGGCTCGTCCCTTTCTGCCAGTGTGGAATGCGATCCAAGCGAGCTTGCAGCATCAACCAGAACCCCATCTCTCAGTGATAGTCTTTACAATATCAATGTGGTAAAAACTCGACAGGATCATGCTGCAACTTCCCGAGGTATTCGCAAGACTGCTCTTGATGCGAATCAAGACCCCTTTATCGACCAGGTAATCCCTACATTGGTGTCAATGGTATTGTTCCTACTGACTATCTGTTACAGACCTCGCGCTACCTTGTTGGTCCTCGAAGAGGACTCATGACCCAGAGTGGATATCAATGGGCACCACAACTGCTTGTTCGCTGGAGCTCTGGGTCTTATGGTTCTATAGAGCCATGCCTCTCGTCGAAGTCAGTCTCGGATTCTGGGGCAATGGAACCACCAGCATATCCCATCTCGAAACACAAATCCAGAGTCGATAGTACTCGGTCTTTGTCAAACATGCTGCGCCCAGGGTCATCCGGATTACTTTGTCCGTTGGAGTTTCCTGTCGCGTTTGCCACTATGAGATCCTACACAGGGTGGCCGTGCATGAGCACAGATTCGATGTCTGTATGGGCGTCAGTGAATGTATCTGCTGATGTTGAGTCAATTTCCCTGCCTGAAACCTCGAGCCTTGCACCCCTTGACATTATTATACTTTTTGATAACTTGTGAGTCAACCCCACTGGCTTACTCGTCAAAGAAAACACTTGTGCTGACCATAAAATAGGCAGCAATCTTCTGTTAGCCTTTTGACGCCAATGGTCCTGGCATCTTCTGTGCTTGCTTCAAATTTGGCCCTCAACAGTGACAGAATAGCTGTAGCATGTGTTGACGGAAGTTTTAGAAACGGGTTCGAGCTATTGCTTCCGTTGGGGTTCCACTCATTCGAGGCGTTGAGAACTGCTCTGAATGCCTTGTCTCTCCTCCATCTGAAGAAGAAAACGAGCAAATTCCCCGACGCAGGTAACTCTATCCGACAGGCATCTCGACTCTTTTATCCCTCTCCTAGAGCTGCGTTTTGTCATCTGATATTCATTTCCTCGTGTCCCCCAGAAAATCTGTTTATATCTGGCGTGGACACGGCTATTGGTATCCATACAATCTCTCCTCAGCTTCGCTTTCCTCTTGACACAGCAAACCATCCACTTGGCTGGCACATTTTCTATGATGCTGATGGCGATGATCCACGATCCGGCGAAGTTCATTTTATGCGAAAGGTCTCTAAAATCATTCGGCAGCTTCGTACTGGTCTCAGCCCTGGGGCCCTGTCAGACTTAAAACTGTTTGTTGAGCAGGGCCACGGATGCCAGTTTCAGTCGGCAATGGAAGACTGCCATCTGGCACGGCTACGGCCAGGGGAGACCTGGACCTTCAAAGTTAAAATGGATGTGCCGATCGGGTTTTACCAGGAAGCTCACTTGACTGAACATCCCGTGCTAGAAGACTTGATCAGGCAGATCAACAGTGTTCTAAAGGCATATTCGTCTGAGCCGGTTGCGCAGCATGTTCTAAGCGCCCGCCTCGAACATCAGCACTCTTTGCTACCGAAACCGCATACTATTTGTTTGGAAACTCATTGCACCATCTCGCGCACTCCAGGTGTGCCGTCCCGTCCTTCTGGCGATCATCGCAGTGTCTCAGCGTTAATGTCGTATGAACTGGATGACGACGCTATCAGTATCAGCTTGGGATCTGCAAGCGAACTCAGTTGAGATCGACTGCTTGAATTGCTCTTTTGGAATCATCGCACTATTCTTAGGGACCTTGTGGTTGATTTGCTCGTGACAGACTTGGGTTATGCCTGATATTTGTACCTCTATAGGAAGGCTCTCTTACCCTTTAAGTATAGCTTCCAATTGGAACCAACTCTTTATTCAATTAATGAAGTGAAACTCCTCGTGTTCCAATCCAGTGCTAGAGCTGAGTATAGCGTAGGACACATAACCACAAAAAACGTCACAATTCTTTCTCAACGCTGGCAAAACTCGACAGCATAAAGTATCAGATGCGAGGATAGACATTACCCGCCATCCGCCATGTCTCTTTGATTAAATCTGCACATTTCTCTCCGATGCCATAAGCCGGCATCTGGGTATGTCCTCCATGTAACGTAGGCATGACACTGCAATCAGCAACTCTAAGCCCCGAAACACCCCTGACTTGCAATTTCTCATTGAGAACAGCCATGGGATCATCCTTTTTCCCCATGGCACAAGTCCCCGCCGCATGGTAGCCTGTGAACAAAAAGTCAGTAAACAAACAGGGCCACACGCAATTCCAATACTCCGCCAACTCACAAGTAGTCGCGTGCTGCTTCACATACGGAACCCACTCCTCCCTCGATTTATAAGTATGATGATTCAAATTCGGCGGCCAAGAACCCTTAACAATATCCTTAGTCCCAGCACCCTGCATAACAACCTCATTCCCAAACCGACAAGCCTCACTAAGGACCAACAGATCAAGTGGATCAGCCAGATAATTACAATCGACAACCGGGTTCACCGACGGATCCGCCGATTCGAGCACCACCGACCCACGAGACTTCGGTGCAAACAGCTCTGCAATCATGGAAAACGCGTGCTGGTTATTAGTCGGGAGTTGGTCGTATTGCTTGGGACCACCGTAGCACTCCGTGCTGAAAAACTCGATGTTTGGCTGTTGTGGTGTGAGGCCCATGGGGTCACGGCCTGGTTTGCGGGCAGCGTTTTTCCAAAGAGGCTCATCTTTTAGTCGGTCGTCGAGACGCGCGAAAGCAAAGCTACCAAAGGGGAAACTGGATAGGAAGCCGGTTCTTTGCTCTTTCCATTGTGCGTAGGTTCGGTCGAAGTTGTCGTTGTGGTAGACGTGGTGGTCGTTTGTTAGGCCTTGTTCTTCGGTTTCATAGAACATGAATACGATCTAGAGGGTGGAGAGTTAGAATGATTCATGCTGGTATTAATAGCTGTGTAGAGATTACTGACAAGGTGGTCCATGAGGTTCTTTCCCACGCCTGGGAGATCGACCAATGAAGGAATATTGTGCTGTTTTAACTCTGCCTTTGGGCCGATGCCGGATCGAAGGAGGATTGCGGGACTGCAGTAGGCGCCTGCAGAGATGATGATTTCCTTTCGGGCATAGTAGACGCTGGACCTGCCATCTGAGGTTTGCGTGACTACGCCGGAAGCGCGGGTCTCTTTTGCCTGCTTGCTGAAGATGATTTTGTCGACAGTAGTATCGGTCTTGATGGTGATGTTCCCACGGTGGTTCTTGTTAGTCACGAAATCAGCGCCTGTTGTCCGCGTGCCCTGGTACACTGTTCGGGGTACATGGCCACATCCTTGCGCAACATCGCCAGTGCTGAACATATCATGGTGCAAGGGCATGCCTTGCGAGGCATAAGAGTGGAGCAGGAGCTGGGAGATTGGCGCTAGATCGTGCGGCTCTGTGTGAAGAGGCCCAGAGTATCCGTGACTCTCTTTGTCTGCCTGAAACCATGCCTTCGGGTGGAAGGTCTCCGACTACTCATGTTTGTTAGTACCTACTTAGGCATTGTCATCAATACTGGCGTGGAACCATGCCGCCTACCTTTCTCATATACTTAAAGAACTCTTCTCCGCTCCATCCATCTAGCCCCCAGTCATCATAATCCTGCTTATTGCCACGGATGCAAAGCGTGCCATTGCACCCGCTGGATCCCCCAAGGAATCGGCCACGACTCAGCTTCACTTGACGGTTGTCAACTCCTGTCATTGGAGGAGTGATGAAGTTCCAGTCGGTCTCGGCATCGAAGTTGTTTGACCACCTGATCTGTCAGTAACAATGGATGCACCAACTAGGCTTCTGTAGCTCACCCGCCGGTCATATGAACATTCTCCAGGTCCTTATTATGCTGTCCAGCCTCCAGCAGCAAGACTCTGACTTCAGGGTTTTCAGCTAGACGACCGGCAACCACACAGCCAGAGGTTCCTCCTCTACCTCATTGTTAACAAGATTCTAAGCTTCTCTTGATAGGTATCTTACCCGCAGACAATATAGTCATAGGTATCCTCAACAGAAGCCATGGTGTAGATTCCAGATCTCGACTGTATAAAGATGGCAAATGAAAGAACAACAGCCAAAAGCATGAAATTCGAGCTCGCCAGCTTGTTACACCGTACTTTTGAAATAGCGGAGTGGAGCGGAGGTGATTCCGCATATCTTCATGTTTTGGGGTAGCTTAGGGTAATCTTACCTGTTTCTGTACACAATCGGAGATAGGCCCATTCGCATGCATTAGAGGCATGGTCCGGTGAAGTGCTAGTGTAATGCCCGAATAGATGCCAAGACGGCCGAGGAACCACCTAAAGTGTGGAGTTTGCGGAATACGGAATTCACCTTCCGCTTGAGGCCATAGTATCGCAGTCGATCACTGACTTGGATTTCATTGGACTTTAGGACTCACAGCTTGTATCACCGAAGTAATTTTATACTTCAATTGATCAACCTGATTTAAAGCGCACAGTCTCTAGACCATATTTGGCACATGCGTTTATCTTCGTGTATTTCGTTTGTATACCCGAGGTCAAAAACGGGATGGTTCCGCATCTCTGCATATGCACCTATAAAACTGACTTTGATGGTCTATTACTGAGATGCCGAGAAATTCGTCAAAGTAGGGGCCTCGTCCCGGATAACTTTCTTTCCCCACATCGGATCCCCATCATCGTCAAACTCGGCCCACTGGAAGAAAGAACACCCTTCCTTTCCTGGTGCAAATCCAGCATAGCACATCCACATGTATCTCCCTCGCGTCTCATGCTTGCGTTGTGCACACCGGAGAATTGTGTGTTCGCCACACTTGCAACGTGGCGTGTAGCGTGGATGTAAAGTATCACGATACCAACGATATGTGATATTGATACGTCTGTTCCCGGAGATCGGATGTGGGGAAATGGTTCGAGCTGGAGCGATAGAGTGTTTCCACTCCTCTTGCATCTCTGCATGCATAATAAGGAGAGAATTGTGTGGAAGATGGATTGAGATTTGGCCTTGGGCGTCAACGCGTGCAGCCGATGTAGTCTGGTTCCGGGCAAAATTTGTAACTGGACCAGTTTTATCGGCTTTGTGATCATCTTCAGCAGTCTCGTCGTCTTCCTGAGGTACTATCTGACGGACTCGGAATTCGCGTGCCACGCCCAAGCTCAGGCTTCCTATCACCGGGTGAGGACCGAGATAGGTGAGTTCGTCGGAGTGATATCCCACGCTTTCACTCGGCCCGTCATAGCAGTTGACAAATGCTGCGTTAGGCCGCCACTCTTTTGGGGACTGGTACTGTAACTTCTTTCCGTCAGGATAAACGTCTCGGATTCGTTTGTTGATCTCGTTGTTGATAATTCTCTGTACTTGGGATGACACTGCTCGTAGCTGTGGTGTTGCCTGGCGCACATTTGACCGATATGTGCCACCGTAGGTATATTCCGAGGTCTGTTGCCGGTGTTCTTCGGGTGTAGAGACATACACGGCATGTGTGTGGGGACTCTGGACAGTCCGGTTGAAGAGTTGAAAGTCATACCGAGAAAAGTGTTTAGATTCATCAAGTAATTCAAGCAGAAGTGTATCTGCTTCTTTAGCCGGTAAGAAGTTGTGAATGATAGTACAAGGTGTGTAGGTGGTAATGTCCTCAGGCGAGTAAAGATGTAGAGTTTTGCCCTTCTTTGGAGGCGGAAGGATTCTCTTTCGCGCATTTTCATGCATGGGTTTCATGCTCCCATCTTCAGCTGTTGTAAAAACGTGTGATGAGAGAGATGTCTGTACGCCGAATGATGAGGCAACAGCTCGTTTTTTGCTCACGGTTGTGCCTGCTGTGAAGTCTTTTACGGAGAGGAGGTCGGCAACATTCTCCACAGACCCTTCACAGGATACAAGTATATCCAATAGCTCGTCCTGTTTGATGGCCGGGAAGAGAGATAGCAGTATTGCTAGCTTGGTATCAGTGGTGTCTTCGCGGGGATCCGGTGACTCGTGCTTAGGCTCCTCATTCGGATTCAAGAGCCGTGGACGTTTCCTCGATATGAAGCCATCCATATTTCAAGTCCCATTCTTTCGAGGCTCTGAAAAGTGATGAATGCGCCTCGGGATGGATGAATGCCTAAAGTGATTGATAAGCCTCATGGATCATAAAATGCTTATCGGCACATGATTGCTGTCGAAGTGACCAATCGGATCACGATGTCATAGATGCACACCCGGAATGAGACTATTACGTCTCCACAGGGCTGTCTTCTCAATGGCTTGGGATATTCTATATAGCACCCAGGCTCTAATCATAACTTTGAATTTGATGTGACTCGCTATTTGACTAAGAAATGAAACCTACCTTCATTTTCAACCCCAGCACTAATACCGGGTAGGTAGTCTAATTGCACGTTATATATTGAAAAGTCGTTTGGGACTATGTATTTCCAGTCATTCTTCTAGTTACAGCTTTAAGAAGGGCGGAAAGGACTCACAAAAAGAAACCCAAAAAGGATATTCCAAACCGTTTCTTAGTCTTCCTAGACCACTCGCTTCACTCAGACGACTCGGTCTTTCCAGCCTGCAAGAGTCTAAGAGAACCCACATCTTGGATACTTAGCGCTTCCTTATTCACGTACCTGCGCTTTAGGTGGAGAAAGGGTTGTCCATTAGCTAATCTTTTCAGTCCTGTTGTTCCTCGAGCACTTTTCACGCTCTTCTTTCAACGCCTGGTTCATTGAAAGGTTCGGTCACAATTTCAACCGCTATTGCTTTTCCTCACGTTGTTATCCCCCGCGTTAATGGTGACCTGACTTCCATCTCTATACGGTTTTATCAATCCAATTGGGGTCAGATCGGTCTATTTTCGTTGCATTTGAAATGGCAAATGCACCTGACCGAAGTCTTGTTTTCATACGGATTTTTGAAGTTGGGACATACTTGTTTCTATAATACGCCCTGTTCAGTTCGAGCCGCAGGATAATGGCTTTTAAAAGCCGGCTTAACGATTAATATTGATTTATCTGTCTCGACTGTGATACATGGTTCAATTTCCCCTATCTTGAATTTATGAGGTTTTGCTTAATTGAATTAACCCAAGAGTCTGCTACCAGTGCACTAGATTCTCGTGATATTCACTTTCTCAGCGATAATACGGTCCCGGCCGCCTTAGCCACCCACTTTTCTAGGTCACTTGTCATCTTTACCGAATCCACGGCTGGGTACGCTAGTGGCGGCGCCATCACTGTGAGCCTTGCTATTTCGTGCGCGTGTAAGAGCAGCGTCAAGCTACCAGTATCGATAAATTGCGGCAAGGCTTGGAGAGAATGAAACTTGGGGGGAGGGGTTTTTCACTTAATCCTCGGGAGGAGATCATACGAAGGCAAGTACGGCTCTTCTTGCGATATAATGAGAAGGAACTATACGTATAGATATCCCCCCCGGGATGAACACTAGTCAAATTGTGTCAGTTTCAGCATAAATACATTTCCTCAAACTAGAAGACTTAAAGGAATGTCGAATTAGTGAAAGCAATTTGGAAAACAATTCAAAGCGCTAGCTTGATACACTCCTCCATTTACCATCTCCCAAGTATACATTCCCCTCTCGATGATAGTCAACCAACCATTTCATTTGCCGAAGCCCATCAAAGACCTCTACCAATGCATCGAGTGCCACCATCGTCCACCCGTGATAACTCCCACGATATTCTCTAGCTTGAGATACACCTTCCATATCGGGTTTCGCAAGCGGGTGATCGCCGATCCTCGAATCTGGGAAATTCTCCTCAACAACCTTCACCCAACATCCACCCACATCTGCATCCTCCTCAGCCATCGAGGAAAGATCTAAAACACATTTCAAGTGCGCTAACGCCTCGTCATCTAGCATCAAGCATATGCGCAGTCTGCTCGGAAGTTCTGTTTCTGGTATCCTAAGCGACACCTTGAAATCATGGAAAGCCTGCCGGACCGCTTCTTCGTCCAGTTTGGAGTATATCTCTGGCGAGCTAAAAACCTTGGAGGCATATGTCGTTGTGAGGGTTTCTATTTCTTCATCGGAACCTGTAAATGTCCGGTGCAAGGCCCGGTGCACGGAATTATTGAGACAGCGCAGGAATACGGGGAGAAGGCGTTTGGTTTCTGGAGCGTACGAGGTGCGGTAGATGATAGGCCCCCATGATAGGGTGAGAAAGTCACGTTCTGGGCCTGGAGGTAGGGATCTCAGCCCTGGCAATGCTCCGAGTCGGCAGACTTCTTCATTAAGGAATACACCGGCCGGAGATGTATAGTGCTTTGACACGGGCATTGGGTTGTCGCGTCCCTGTGTGGGTGCTGTTTTGGTATCATATTGTTTTGACCTTATCATGGCGGTCGATTTATATGTCAATAATATATTCAATCAGAATTGAATCCAGCAGACTCGGAAGCAAATTTCAGAAGAGGCCAACCATGGCGTCATTCCCATACTTTGCAGGGGCTGAGGCAAAATAACCTCGGCGTGGCTCACCTTGTGGTTATTTGATATGATTGGCTCAGATCTATGCTCTTGAAATGGAAAATTGAGGGTCTAGAATGGTTCCTTACTACCGTTGCAATTAGGGCTGGATGCAGCTACAGATGTAGCTCGTTGACGTCAATATCACAAACACCATATACTCACCTTAGCCATCTATGAAAACAGTGTGACATTTGTGCAGAATCTAAGTAAGTAGCAACATAGTGGACTGTGAAGAGAAAAAAAAATGTGTTGATAGACATGCTGCAAATTGATCAAAACAAGAAGAACTGGCGCCACCACCCCGGCTAAAGCAACGATACTGTGTACTATGTACATTGACACAATACTTCGTCATACCAAGCCATGACACCTGTTGGATGGAATATATAATTCATCCGACATCCAACTAACTAGTACAACATTGTACTCCACACAGATAGTGCCATAAGTTAGGACAGTCGTGGTTTTTACCTATGAAATATATATCTCAACTTCAACTACGTATATATCTCAATCAATATACATTCATTTTCTATATAATCTTCTTTTATATAGGGAATTGATAATGACCGAAAAGCCTAGTACTCAGAGTATACAAAACTAGTTAAGGTATAGGAGCGGTACCTAGTTAGGAAGGTGTATCTAATTCGGTAGAGATGAGAGCATCGAAGGGGCGTTCGCGAGTACCAACTCCCTATTAAAATGCAGGTATAGGTAATAAATCAAAGGCGAACGTGAAAGTATAGTTAGAAAAGGCCGTGCCTGAAAGCCAAGGAAGGACCTCGGCTCATTTGATCCCCGCAATCCCGAGATCATACGCCGAATCTGAACTTGACATCTTCGTGACCATTGATGTTTATGCTTTTGATACCCTAGCTCGCTTGAAGATCTCACTTTCTCACTTTCTCTATATTCCCCCTCGAGCGACCGGCGCGGAACAGTCGCTCATCATGCTCCATTACCGCACACAAGGATATCAGGGTTGCGCTGTCAAATACTCCCCATTCTTTGACAATCGGCTAGCTGTTGCAAGTTCTTCAAACTTTGGCCTAGTTGGCAATGGCCGCCTGCATATCTTGGAGTTGACTGCGAATGGAATCCAACCGCTAAAATGGTAAGTGGGATATTCGCAGACCCCGCGGAGTGCGCAACGGAGTCGGAAGTAAGAACCTAATTCTAACCATTTCGCGTTATCATAACTTCCAGGTTCACGACACAGGACTCATTATATGATCTCGCATGGTCCGAACTCCACGAGAACCAAGTCCTCGCCGCATCAGGCGACGGCAGCATCAAGCTATTCGACTGCACAGCGGACGAATTCCCAATCTCAAACTGGAAAGAACACGCACGGGAAGTATTCAGCGTGAGCTGGAACCCAGTCGCAAAAGACCGCTTCTGCTCAAGTAGCTGGGACGGCACAGTCCGTATCTGGTCGCCGCATCGCCCGCAGTCCCTCCTCACCCTCCCAACACACAGCTGCACCTACTCCGCATCATTCTGTCCACACAGCCCAGACGTAATCTCATGCGTGACGTCAGACTCATACGTGCGCGTTTTCGATCTCCGCACCCCGGCCTCCGCCTCAAACCACCTCGTCACTCAGATTCCCATCCACGCCGGTCCCCCCGCGCCTGCAATCCCCGGCCAGCCGGGCGGTCCTGCCCCGCCCGCTGAGGCTCTCACCCACGACTGGAACAAGTACCGGCCCACTGTTTTAGCTACGGCGGGTGTTGACCGTGCTATTCGGACGTTTGATATCCGGGCCCCGCAACAAGGACCGTTGACCACTATGCTCGGACATGAATACGCGGTGCGGAAAGTGGCTTGGTCACCGCATCTTTCTAATGTCCTTTTAAGTGCTAGCTACGATATGACTTGTCGAGTGTGGAGTGACCGGTCAGACGCGGGCCCGGGCGGGGATATGGATATGATGCGCGCTGGTCCAGTGGTTGGCGCGGAGCTAGGGCGCATGGGTAGACATACCGAGTTTGTAACAGGCGTGGACTGGTGTTTGTTTGGAAGTGAGGGCTGGTGTGCTAGTGTTGGCTGGGATGAGAGTCTATATGTGTGGGATGTGCGAGCTACGATGTCATAGGATATTTGAAACCAATTATATATGGCTCTGGCAGGGTCCAAAGCTTTATCATTTTTTTCTAGGTGCAACGGAGCTATGCTAGTAGGAACTTACAGGTTATGTCTGTTTAAGGTATCGGCTGCCAGGTAGGCTGTTGTCGGAACAGAATGCATAACTTGAAAGAGATTGATCATTGTATTTCGTAATTTTTATGCCGGAAAGACACAATGCATAGTGCGATGTAAAAACAAAAGCGTCACAGTTGCCTATTTCCCGGACTTAAGCATTAAGCCTTGTGTTTGAACTATGCAGCGACTTAATGACTCGAAAACGGCTGGTATTCCAGAACCGTGCAAAAATAACTCCGAGTCAAGACAAGAGGCTCACAGTCTTCACACCATCCATGTTGGGTATTTGAGAGCATGGAGACTTGGGATCCACGGTCAATGTGACAATATCGGCCCATGCCCACAGCTTCTCAACAATCTATGCCCTTGAATGCTTGTGATTCAGCAACAGAGCAATCTATTTGCCGCCCAGTCTGCCCTCGAGCTTCTTGCGCTCGCTATCCCGAAGCGCAGCAACCTCTTCCTTGGTGGCATTAACAGCAGCATGCACCTGGTTGAATGGGTTCTCCTCGCTCTTCTCGAATTCCTTCCGGCAGAGATCCATACGCTGGTTCCGGCGCAGACCGGGGTTTTCCTGCTCAATCTCTGGCAAGCGCCTCTCCTCGAATGCGGCATATGCGGCCTTGAATCGGCGCTCGGGGTGTCGGTCGATCTTGGATGTGTCCTTCGAGGCCAGGGACAGGGCGTCTAGGGCGTTGTCGATACCAGTGGCGCTGAGAGCAGTATCCTTCTTCCTGCCCGCAGGAGCATCATCCAACTGTGAAAGATCGAGGCCGCGAGTCTTCTTTTGTGCGGTCTTGGCGTTCGCGCCTTTGGCTTTTGCTGGTTGAGAGGCTTCTTCCTCGGCGAGTAGGGCGTCGCGCTCGGCCTTCTTGCGGGCGGCTTCGGCTTTCTTAGCTTCGGAATCTTCCCTGGAGATTGAGGGTGATTAGCTCGGTACTTGAGGACATGTTCTCTGAGAGGTTGAGATCGCATACTTCTTAGCGTTGCTCTTGGATCCCTTCTTCCATTCCTTTTCCTCCTCTGCAGCCTTCTTCTGGTCCTCAGATGCCTTCTTCGATGCTGCAGCTTCCGCTTTCTGTACGGCACTGTTAGCCTTTGTCCAAATGATCTTATGCTCGAGGGATGTGGCAATAATAGCGGGGGCGGGGTTTAATAAAAACATACACGAGCGTTTCCGGCGACCTTCTTGGTGTTCTCACCTGCTGATTTCTTGCCTGCCATGGTGAAATATGATATACAAACTAAACACTGGACAGAATCTGAGGTATGGATGTGAAAAGAAAAAGGTGGAATCGAGTTTCTACTACATGATCTGATCCGCGGGACCAATATGCCGACTCCGATGAAGGCGGTGACTCTGTCCTTGGCCCGTGCGTTGTAATTCATGCCTTATGAAGGTGGCACCCAACCTTGGAAGTTCCCCGGCATTTGTAATCTCCCTATCTCGCCTGGGCAGCTCTTGAAGCTGTCTGTCTGTCTTCTTCCGGCCATTTGTGCTATGGCCTTGGTATTTGTGATTTGACATCTGTGGGGCTTGATTTGATTTGCGCTTTGTCACTGCCGATTTCACATTTACCGGCTAGTGAGACAAGCAGTGTTCCTCCCTACTATGATCTGATCGTCCGTCACAATGGCTTTGCTCTTCCGCTTTCTACAGGCGTTCGCCTTACTGCTCCTCGCGAGCGCAGTTGTCGCTGAACACACCTCTAATTGGGCAGTACTCGTATCTACCTCTCGCTTCTGGTTCAATTACCGCCACCTCGCCAATGTCCTCTCACTATACCGAACCGTCAAACGGCTCGGCATTCCCGATTCACAGATTATCCTCATGCTCCCCGATGATATGGCTTGCAACCCCCGAAATGCTTTCCCGGGCACCGTCTACAGTAACGCAGACCGCGCAGTCGATCTATATGGTGACAACATCGAAGTGGACTACAGGGGGTACGAAGTGACCGTGGAGAACTTCATCCGACTCTTGACCGACCGCCTCGACGAAGACGTGCCGCGCAGTAAGCGCCTGGGATCTGACGCCGGCAGCAATGTACTAGTATACATGACCGGACATGGAGGCGATCAATTCCTAAAGTTTCAGGACGCCGAAGAGATCGGCGCGTGGGATCTTGCGGACGCGTTTGGACAGATGTGGGAGAAAAAGCGCTACCATGAGCTGTTGTTCATGATCGACACTTGCCAGGCCAATACGATGTACACACATTTCTACTCGCCCAACATCGTGGCGACAGGCTCCAGCGAGATTGACCAGTCTTCCTATTCCCACCATGCGGACAACGACGTCGGCGTCGCTGTCATTGATCGCTGGACATACTATGTTCTTGAATTCCTCGAGACACAAGTCACAAGTGTCACTTCTAAACTCAACCTAGGAGACTTGTTCGATTCTTACGATGAGTCGAAGATTCACTCCCAGCCGGGTGTCCGGTGGGACCTGTTCCCTGGAGGCGAGCAAGAAGGCCGCCTGCGGACCGTGGTTGATTTCTTCGGCAATGTCCAGAACGTGGAAGTTGAGAATGCCAATGCTACTGAACCTGGCTCTCTTAAGGAAGATTTGGCTGAAATTGCGCGACTTGTAGAGAAGTGGCAAAAGCGTGACGAGGAATATTCAGCCATACTTGGTGATTCCACTGGAAATGTCACCGAAGACCTACATTCATCACTTGCGCATCTGAAGCTGAAGAGCACTGTTGGGCCGACCAAAATGGCGGACGACAGCAACTGGGGCAAGCGGTTAGTTGGAATCTCTGTCGTTGGTGCATGCACCGCCATCTGGGTGGCTGGATCGATTTTAGGCCGCTCGTCTGTTTAATATTTCGCAACAGAGTACCAAGTCTTCTTTGCTTTGGTTGCAACCTTGATTTTTTTCTTCTCCCTGGACTTGTGGATGTATGGCCATAATGTCTTCACTGGAATGGGTTTGGAGAATATAGCATGTTCATGGCGCAAGGCGTTACCTCTGTGATTATTGAATTTGAAAGATATCCATCAAACAGCCCATGGGAAACACTATGCTTTTGAGATACGTAGCCAAAGTAACCATCCTACTAAAGATGTAACTAACCAAGATGCCGTAAGGTATGCTATATATGTCTCTTCGGGCAGGGATATTGTTTGCATCCGATTGCAGCACTGCGTATTAGCATACATGCTTTCAGATGCTGATTCCAAAGGTCGTTAAGCATCATGCAAATGCAGAAATATATAGAAGCTTCGCTCTGATAGATGATATCCAGCTTCATTCTTTTTTATATACCAATAAAGGTTGTCGAACCATCTCTAGCTCATAAATGCCAGCCGCTTTCTTCCCATGAGATGTCAACCGTCATCTCTTACATCGGAAGGTCACAAAGCGATAATTATCCTAAGACAATAGAGAAGCCATCGTGTCTTTACCAGGAACACTGTTCAGTGGCTACTCTATTGGGACCCCTTTGACCACCACCGGGGAAGCTCAAAAACTCCTTGATCAGCCCAAGGAGTCGCAATATCCACCACATCGAAATACAAGCCCTGGCCATTCCGAGACGTCGTTGGGGAAGCGAGAGCGCCAAGTCAGGGCTTTAAGATCAACACCAGGATAAGTCCGATCACCGAAAGCTCCTCTGCTCCCAGAGGAGAGAGAACCCTCACGGGTCCGGCAATACAGAATTCTCCCCAAGAGAGCTTGGGTCGTCTTTATACGGATCAAATCCATGTACTTGATTTCCATCATGTAGATGAGAACACACCAATTAATCAGCAAGCCGCTACCATCCATGGGGAATACTCGAAAGGTCAGTTTGAGAAGATACCTACAACATTGCTTTGTTGCAAGCAATGAATGACGCTGATCTCACCACAGTTCGGCCTATGGATTTCTCTGAACAGCTCTTGGAGGAATTCCTCAAAAGTGTGTGTGAAGAGAGAGGCTATGTCAATCTAGTTGTATACTAGGGTTGGTATAATCTAGCTAGCCGAAAGAAAGAGGAGCTTTTCCCGCTCCTTCGCCAGCATGGAATCGTGTTTTCACGCTTACAGGTTCGTACATATACATACTGTCACTCCCAGTCAATATCACACCCAGCCAGCTAATAACCTGTAGCCCTTCCACTCGCTCCATGACTGCCCAAAGGACCAGCGTCGATGCAGACGGGACCTGGTATGGTAGCATGTACAATATGCATGCTAATAATGCAGATTTCAGAGCGACCATTGTAAAGCTCCAAATTTCAGAATCTGAAGCCTGTCTTCGGTGGATCTACTACCATTCAAAGTTGCAGAAGGGTGATGATGTGATTCTGGAAACCAACTCGGGACCTGAGCTCACTCAGCATATCAAGAATATCGTTAAAGGGCCTTTACCAGCTGAGACCGTGATAAACTTGACTTGCTTTGCGGGAGACTGCGTGGTGGGTAGAAAGCGTGATTTGAACAAAGGATTTGCGCGTAAGACTCAATTTAGAGCATAGACGGAAGAGTTCGCGTAAAGCACCCAATTTGCATTGAGCAACAAAATGAACCACCCATATTTTGGAAGATCCATACCGGTTTTTAATTCAAGGAATTAAGAAGTAAGACATTCAAAGAAGTATTGAAGTAATAAATGAGCAAATATCGTCGAGTCGAGGTGATGAGGTATGGAATCTCGGCACGTGCCTCGACGCGTCGCGCTTGTCCACTTCCCCGGCGCTATGGGAGACTCTTTGCTGCAAGGGCTTCACACCAAATAACCACCTCACATTTCTGAGCTTATTCTTACGAGTTTTTCTTCATGAGCTGTCGCATGAGCATATAACAATCCCAAGCTGGCCATGTATCTCCCTCGGCAGCTCATCTCACATCTTTACCTACAACTCCTCCGATCTCACCACCCACTTTCTCCACCCGTCTTGATTCTCGTGGCATTAGAGCCAGACGCACTATGTGCCTGTCGAATTCTCACGGCTTTGTTAAAACGCGACTATATCCCTCATAAAATTCAACCAGTTGCAGGATATGGCGACCTGTCGCGTGCGGGGGAGGAGCTGGTCCGCCCAATGCAGACCACCAATGGTGGCAGCGGAGGAGTAGTCATCTGTCTCGGAGTAGGGGGTCTAGTGGATTTGAGCGAGATATTGGCTTTGAGCAATCCCGAGGACGAGGTGGAAGATATGGGAGGCGTGGAGATCTGGGTATTCGACGCGCGACGGCCGTGGAACCTGGGGAACGTATTTGGTGGACAAGCCGGGATGGGCCAACCTATGGCTGAAATCGATGCCAATGCGCGACGGCGAGGACGCGGGGTTGACAAAGGGTGCATCACTTCCGCTTACACGTCGAAGAATGGTGGAATCATCGTGTATGATGACGGAGACATCGAGGAAGAGCTTCGCAACGAACGAGAGGCATACTACGCGTTACTGGAGATGCCAGAGGTAGACGATGATGGCGATGATGCGAGTGACGACGGATCTGAAGACGAAATGCAAACAGGGTCGAAAAAGCGCAAATCCTGGTCAGGTCGCGAAGACGACGAGGATTCAGAAGGCGATGAGCCACCCCACCAACGGAGGAGAAGCAATTCAGTAGGTTTTGACATTTCTATGGCCCAATAATAGACTAACGCGTGATATAGGGCTCCTCTGTTGCCTCGTCTCCGACTCGCCGCAAAAAGACTGGAATCAATTCTTCGAACTCGTCGCGATCTGTGACACCGACAACTGACTCGCCATCCCCAGCCGAGGCAAAACAGCCCTCGGCGCGGTCATTAAAGAAACGTTTAATTAATCTCAAGCGAAGACACGACTCCGTTCTACAATCATACTATTCGTCCGGAACCTCATACTCCGAACCAATTTCGTCGCTGATCTACTCTCTGGCATCTGAGCTGGGACGAGATGACAATGACCTGTTATGGCTTGCTATTGTCGGTGTCTCCAGTCTGGAACTCAGTGGTCGAACAATGACTGGAGTGGGTATTTCAAACACATCAGAATCAGGAGGCTCAGCAGGCTGGGGTGGCCAACGTGGTGAACACATTCGCCAAATACTTCGCGATGAAGTGCATCGTTTGAACCCGCCTGATCCTCTAGAATCAAACCGTGATATCCGAGGAGAAATTAATGGTGTCATTCCAACAACAGCTAGATCACCCACCGATACGTCGATCCGTCTTTCTCCTGAACCACGATTCCTTCTTGTCCGACATTGGTCTCTATACGAAAGTATGCTCCACAGCCCTTACCTCGCCCCAAGGCTGCATGTGTGGACTGAGAATGGCCGCAAACGACTACACAAGCTTCTGGCCAAGATGGGAATTAGTCTGACCCAGTGTCACCAATACTATACCCACATGGACATGGAATTGAAGCGTGTTCTGCGATCACGTCTGCTCAAGTATGCCCCTATGTATGGCTTAGATGGACTCGTGCCGTCAGAGGGATCTGGGAGTGCCAGTGCCCGGGAGGGCTGGGGATTTGTGCGTTGCTGGGGCTGGAAGGCATGTCTGTCTGCCACAGACGTGGGTGTTATTGTGGGTGCAATGCTGGAAGTTGGGCCACACGAGACATTGGCTTCTTGGGACGCCAAACGTGTGCCGCGAGCACGCGATGATACAGAAAACGGTGGAATCTCAAGCGAACCTGACTTGGCTAGTCTGTTGCCTCGGTTCTGGAGTGCGTACGACGCCCTTTCATTAACGTCCGAATCACCCACGATTCTCCTGGAGTCTTTACCTCTGGCTCAGCATCTACACCGTGCTATCCTTCGCACTGGTACCTCCTTACTCTCCAAGCATCAAATTCGTCACCTTCGAGCATTCCGCATTGCCGTGGTCAAGGATGGACCAGACGTTAAACTGTTCACAAACCCCGGGGCCTTGACGAAATTGGCCCTGTGGATCGCCGAGGCCATTCGAGTCCAAGAGAAAGAGCGCGGCGACTCAGTCAAGATCGGTCGGAAGAGAGCAGCAGGAACTCCTCTCGTCCTTGCTGGCCTCGATGAAGATCGCGATCTCTATGTAGTCGTCGGCACTGGTGGCGGCGGCGGTGTTGTTGACTTCGCTGCCATGGCCAAGCGCCAGGAGGAACGCAAAAAGAAGAAAGACAATAAGGAAAAGAAACAGAAAGAGCGATCAGAACGCCGGTCCCAGCGGGCAGCAGAGCGTGCTGAACGAGAAGACGAGACTAGTGCCGAAGACGAAGAATCGGAAGAGTCCGATTCCTCTTCGGAATCGGAGTCCGAGGACGAGGAAGATCCGCGTGGGAAGAAGCATCTTCTCCGCAACCGGTTTGGTATTGCCTTCCAGGAGGTAGTCCAGGAGACGAATGCGCGTGTGCGCATCGACAGCTTTGAGCATTGTGTTGTCGAGGTCCAGAAGGATGACCTTGGTGGCTTCCTCGAAGCATTGAGTTTCCGCAGTGTGGTGGGATAGATCCTCTACCAACACAATCACGCAGTCTACGACCTGTCATCTTTGTTTACTTTCTTCGATGCATGGGATGGGAGGGATATATGGGAGGGGATCTGGACTCTGAAATCGGCTAAATGCATAATGACCGTTGCATGCCATTCTACGCTTGCAAGCATTCAAACGCCTTTCATTCTCCCATCTGTCTCCGGCGTTTATGGTGTTTTTTTTCAAGGAAAACATGTCTGATTCTATCTAGTCCATAGTTGCATCGAATCTATGCATTTTCGGCCTTCTCTCCGAAAGCTCCCCGCATATCCCCCCGCTTGGTCTTCAGTACTTCACCTTTTTTTAAATATTACCCAGAATTAACCCGGGCTCAATTAACAAAAACAAGAATAGAGGGAAACAACTCAGTTCCTCACCATGTCACAGCACGAGTACCCCGTCCTCCCCCGGGAGAGCACCCTCGCCAACCTCCCCGCAGAGTACTCCACCGACGCGCAAGAGGAAATCACCCAAATCCTCACAACAGCCCCAATCAACCGGCTAGTGGTACTAGATGACGACCCAACCGGCACACAGACCTGCCACGACATCTCCGTCCTAACAGTCTGGGACATCCCAACACTAACAACCGAATTCCAGTCCACAAAGCCAGGCTTCTTCATCCTCACAAACTCACGTGCCCTCCCACCAAAAGAAGCAGAAACACTCATCCACGAGATCTGCACAAATATAGCCCAGGTCGCCAAAGTAACAAATCAAAAGGTAGACATCGTCCTCCGCGGCGATAGCACATTACGCGGACACTTCCCTCTCGAAACGGACGTCGCACAGTCAGTCTTTGGCCCTGCAGACGCACTCGTTCTTGCTCCGTTCTTCTTCCAAGGTGGAAGACTTACCATCAACGATGTGCATTATGTCACCGAAGGTGACAACCTCGTCCCAGCGGGCGAGACACAGTTCGCCAAGGATGCAACGTTCGGATATAAAAGCTCCAATCTGCGGGATTACGTCCTCGAAAAGGCGCCCCGGTTCAACGCAGACCAATTATGCTCTGTAACAATTAAAGAAATCCGCACCGGCGGCCCGCAGGCCGTCTGCAAGAAACTGCTTACTGCACCGATTGGTGGAGTAGTGATCGTTAATGCGGCCGCGGAGTCTGACATGCACGTCTTCGTGGCGGGATTGCTACTTGGTATGTCCGGGTTCCGCTTTACTCCTGGTTTGACTACGTAGACCTGATGGCTAACGCTAACACACCCAGCCGAATCTAAGGGCAAACACTTCCTATACCGCACAGGCGCGGCCTTCGTCTCAACTAGACTCGGCATCCGTTCACAAGCACCCATCTCCGCTACTGGGCTTCACCTACCCTTTCCGCGCCAGACGGGCGGGCTTATAATTGCCGGGTCGTATGTTCCTAAGACCACGGCGCAGCTGAAAGTGTTGACGGATCGACGCGGCGCATCGAGTCAGTTAGCGATCATTGAAATGAAGGTGGAGGAACTTATCGCGTCGCCAGAGACTGCGGCGCGGGCTGTACTGCGTGTTGTGCAGGAGACGGAATCGCATCTGCGGGCTGGAATGGATACACTCGTTATGACGAGTCGGGCGCTTGTGACAGGTGACGATGAGTTGTCGTCGCTGAAGATTGGGTCTGTGGTTGCTGAGGCGCTGGTTGGTGTTTTACGGCGGATTGAGGTGCAGCCGCGGTTTATTATTGCCAAGGTATGATATCTGGTCTCTTGATTTTATCTGTGGATGGATGTATTGGTGCTGACTTTCTTAGGGTGGGATCACATCTTCGGATGCTGCGACTAAGGGCTTGAATATAAAGCGTGCTACTATCGTTGGCCAGGCGGCGCCTGGTGTGCCTCTTTGGCGGTGCGATGAGGAGACTAGTCGCCATCGCAGTGTGCCCTTTGTTGTCTTCCCTGGAAATGTGGGTGGGGAGGAGACGCTTTGCGACTTGGTGGAAGGGTGGAGTTAGATGTGGCCATTGAAGATGGGTATGTGTAGGCGCTTCTACATCTACATGTAAAAATATCTCTGAGAACCCTACCAAAAGACTACTTAAGGGACTATAAAGCAGATTATAACACAGATTATATTTTTCTTTCCCTGTTCTCTTCCTTTCAGGGATCTTAGTCCTCCTCACCTCCCTTCCTATCCTCCTTCTCTCTCTTTTTCGTAATGTCTTCGCCTGTGGCCTCTTGCATTTGGCATGGTGGCTATTGGTGTGATTTGATGCTTCGAACCACACTATGTACCATATACTTGATACAGAATGCCATGTCCTTCTTGCTCCAGGGCCCCTTTATCTATCAATACCTTGCGAAGTCGGCCAAACTCTGGAGCGGCGTATTTCCGATAGATGGTAGTGATAATTTCCACGGCAGAAGCTGACGGATCAAATTTGGTCTCAACCAGCAACCCATTCGGGTTGGCACCGTGCTGAATGAACAGCGATATAATCACCGCCAGACGAGAAGTGCCATTTTCACTAGTGTCGTAGTACCCAATCCATCGGCGACGATCTACCTCTCGGAGATAATCTAGAACAGCCAGCCAGGGCGTCTGCTCCTTTCCATTCAGACCTTGGTAGGGCTAATTCGGATCGGCACCACTCGTGAGAATTTCACTGGCTATTTCTGGACTGGATAAATGGTATACGCTTTGTCGCCAACTGGCAAGCACCTCGATGGAATAACTGAGAAGTGGTATACCGCTATCACTGCCATGCAGCATTCTATCATCTTTCCAGACACGTTCGCGTACTAGGGTTGCTAAGCCGAACTTAACAGAAAGTGAGAGAAATGGATCACGAAAGCTAAGCTTCTTTCGTTTCTCATATGACGAAAAAAGGTTCCGTGCCCAATGATCATGTTCGATCGACTGGCGGAACACCCAATACTGACACATGGCTCGATCCATTCGGGAATAATCACAAGCTGTGACTGTCGATGATCTGAAGAAAATCGTGCATGAGTGAATGCAAGAACAGTGTTGGGCCACCGGTCGTCTATCTGTCGGTTGGGATGAATAGGTCATTTTCTGGCTCCCAGGAACATGAGTAAGCAGCGTACAGTTATCGTCGGAGCATATGAAAGAACGGAGAGGATGTGATGGAATGGGCGGGTCTGAGCATTGGGGTGAGCCATTTGGCTACTCAGGGACTCAGGGTCGCTCATGGGTAGGGCAGGTGATCCATGCTGTACTCCAAGGGAGTGTTAGGGGTTTGTATAATGCATTTGCATCTACGTTTGTAAACTAGGACATATAGCGAGTATAGCTCCGCTATAGCCTGGTAGGAGGGGCCTAATTATACATAGGAAAGTCGTATGTATATGATAACCCGGCTATTTCTACTATTATAACCAGAGAGACAAAAAATATCTAAAAGAGCGTATAAGAAATAAGACATCCCTGGTCAAACTATCAAGACCTCAAATGCAGAGGTCACACATGCGGCTAACTACTCTTGCGTTGAATAATCGAGGCATTGCATATATGTAGAATACTATGTAGTTTGGCTGTGTCAGGTTCTAATGAATTTGCAAAGCAGCACATCTATCTCATCCCGAGACATCATATCATCATGCATCTATCATAAAGCTATTCTCTCACCCCCACCAGAAGTTTACACTGATCCCAGCCCTCAATCCACGCACATAGTGCCACCACCCAATAGGAATGTAGAGACACTCGCCTTCATGGAGAACAGTCTCTACATAATCAGCGTCCATGAACCCAGGCCACTTCTCTTCCCACTGCTCATACTCAGCAGGGGAGGACTCGATAGCAGCCAGATCCACCTTGGAAGTATTGGACATGTCAACCAGTCTACGAGTCGTGGGTCGAACCCCAGATACAGGATCTGGATCTGCCGTCTCATCAATAGACGTGACCCATTCTTGTCCCCGTGGATGGATCTGAGAGTCAGGCGTACGTGGCGAGTACAGCCGGATGTACTTGGTTCCCACAACCTGGGCGAGGATATTGTGGTGGGGGTCGTGGTGGAGAGGGGAGATTGTCCACGCGGGCCCGATCCAAGTGTTGATGATGGGATCACTGGGGGCTCCCATAAATGACCCTGCATCTGAACCGTCTTCGGCTATGTCATGTTCATCTGGTGATGTGTCCAGCTGGGCATCAGGCGAGATTTCAGGGACCTGTGCTTGGGATTTCGCCTCGCGCTCACGCTTTTTCTTCTCATATACTGGTGTCCCCGGATCTGGGCCCGGCGGTGTGATATAGCAATAGTCCGGTACACTGATATCGTTACGCAGGGCGGGTATTTGAGAAAGTAGGTCGTGTTGCGCCATATATGCCGTCTCTCCACCGAGGTTGGTGACCTGGTGCTGGTTTTCTGGCTCCCCAGTCGGGGCGAGTTTGCCTTGCCATATGTAATTGTCCACAAAATCCTTGAACGTCATAATCTTCTGTCCCCAGTCCTCGTCCGTATACGACCTTCCCACCTCAATCGGAACCAATCTGCGACCACCAAATGTGCGGTCCCACCAGTAGTTCCGCGAAGACCACGGACGCGTCGAAGTGGCTGGCCAATGATCCATCGCATCCGTTATTACCAGCGGGGTGCGAATGTTTTGAATGTGGCGTTCGATGGAATCGAACGACGGCGCCGATAAACGCGGGATCGGATGTTCCAGGTGGGGTTTACGGATCGCATTTGGAGGGAAGAGAGGAGGCGAGAATTTCCTGCGCTTTGCGGTAGGATATTCTGGACTAACAGTGTTGTCGTAGTCGAGTTTGGGGGTTTCTGTCGCTGCCTGCAGCGTGGACAACAAGGATTCAACCAGTTTCTCACGGAAGGGAGCTCCAGACATGATCAAGATATTATCGAGGATGGCCACGACGTCTGATATCCATGACGAATCCGGGGAGAGCTTCGGCTCAGTTTCTGCATTTCTGATGTCTTGAATGAGTTGTGAGACAATTAGGTGGGTTTCAAATCTGGCTTTGGAGATCAGGCCGCATTTTGTGACGATAGTGACGCAGGCCTTGACGATAGACGCGTCCGTGTAGAGTCGATGCCAGCAGATGTGCACATCCTTAAATGGAAAGGAGTGTAATTTTAAGTTGGCAAGCTCAAGTGCTTTCTCAGTGTCATTGAAGAGAAGATCTTGAAGGTCAGGGTTGTCGCATTGGAGGATGGGGTCGTCAAAGCTTGGCTCAGCGATAACAGACAACGCGTCACTAAGGACTGATGAAAGAGCCATGACTGGAGAATGTGAAAGGGAAACTAAGAAATGAGAGAAAAGAAAGACCAAAGTGATACCAGGTACTATCCTCAAAGTAATCCCAAAGTGTCTAGGTGTTATGCTGGGATTGATCCTTCCACCGTCCAAAAATAATAATAATCACAAACCCTCATTTTAGCAATCGAATGAAGAAAAAAAGAATATACCATATTTTCTATGTCCATAGCATCCGATATGTTAGGGCTAGGTTTTTTCTAAATCGAGTAAAATCAAAGCTAGGCACATGTGAGGGTTTTATAGATTGTAGGGGAATATTGAAGGTATGTTGATGCTTATTATATAGTACACTTTGTTCATGATCAAGGGAGTTTTCTAATATACATGCTTCATTCGAGAAGCTCCATCACCAATTTGGGAATTCGAGACACACCTTCACCTCGTTTGGCACTGACAGGGACAACACATACTTTCTCCTTCCAAGCCCTTTCATGACCCGATGGGTGCTCAATCGTGCCATCCTGGACACCAGATAAGTATTCCTGCAGAGCTCGGAAATTTTCATGTGTGTTTTCCAGGTCTGCCTTGGATGCCACGACGAACCAAGGCTTCAGGTGCAAAGGTGTCATCGCCAGCGGAGGCAGCGAGCCGTCGGGGTTGGTATTCAATACCGGGCCTGGCTCTCGGTCGAGTGCTTGTCGGTGGTGACCACCATCCTCATTTTCAGTGAAGGGATTCCATTCAATGATGTCGTCTTTCTCGGCAGCGTCAGGCTCTGCATCGCGCATTCGCTCGTACTCTCCAAGTTCGCGCCACAGTTTCTGGAGTTCCTGTACAGGATCGCCGAAACTGAGATCAACCACAAAGGCCAGAATTCCAGCTCGGTCGATGTGTCGAAGGAACCCGAGGCCAAGTCCTCGGTCAAGATGGGCACCTTCCACCAGACCCGGAATGTCGGCAATAGTGAAGTGCGTGCGACGGGCCTTCGACTCAACAAGAGGACGGCCCTTCATGTCGTCGGTGATGACAGTGCCGATACTAGGAGAAAGTGTAGTGAACTCCCAGTTCCCAATGCGGGTCCGACTGTTGGTCAACGAGCGGAGAAGCGTACTCTTGCCAGCGTTTGGTTTCCCAACCAAACCGACATCTGCAAGGAGCTTAAGCTCAAAGTCGAGCTCTAACATCATTCCACCTTCACCTCGGCTTGCGAATTTCGGTCGTCCCATTACGCGGGTGGAGAAATGCGGATTCCCCAGACCGCCAATACCACCGGCAGCCAGAAGCATGGGTTTATCCATAGGTTTTGAAAGGTCCAGCCAGATCGGCGACTTGGGTTCCATGGCTGCTATATTCTGGCGTCGCGGGTACGATTTGGGAAATTGCACCATAAGGAAATCAGATGGCTTTGCGGCGGGGTGTAAAACCCAGCGATCGTGCTGGATAGGGTTGAACTCAGGCTCATCTTCTTCAAGTCCTTCACCTTCGGCTTCAGGGTCAGCGTCATCAGGATCCTGCCAAATCTTCTTCTCCTCTTTGGCAAGATATGACGCTTCTTCCGCCGCCTTGATGCGGGCCCACTCCACCTCGACTGGATCATAACGGCTCACCTCCCGCACCACAGTGCCGACAGGTACCTGGAGGAGAACGTCGTCGCCTCGTTTTCCACCCTTGCTTTTACCTTGTCCGTTTCGACCCCTGCTAGCTCTGATGATGCCTCTGCGGGCCAGCTTATGCAGACTCGTCAAGCCCTCAACGGTCTGGATGTATATACCGCCTCCGCTGCCACCGTCACCGCCATTCGGGGGTCCCTCTTCGACATATTTCTCGCGCAGATATGCAACACAGCCGTGTCCGCCGGAGCCTGCGTGGATTTTCACCCGACATTTGTCTTGAAAAATAAACCGCGAATAATCCTCCGGAGCAGGGTCCAGATGCGACAGGTCCGGTGTTACCTCGTCAGGTACGGCATTTTTGGTGGGCTGAGATGTTGCCTCAGGGTCGGATTTGGTGCTTTGAAATCGGTTCCTTGCGATGCATGGTTTTTGGAGGTCTTGTAGAAATAATCGGCTGCAACGGGCTCGTCTGGGAAGGAATGGTCGTACGGGAAGGGAAAAATATACTCGTGGATGCGCCATGATGTGTGATTGGCGGCTATATCTCGCTCATTCTGCAAATGCAGCTGTTTCAACGTTTGAGATTGTCCACTTAGGATTGGATCTTCATAGGGCGAAGATATACCGGTTTTTAGTGAATTGTCGACAGCCTGAGTTATGACTTCAGCGGATTTCTCAAGACCCCGATAAGGTCACATGGTGATAAGCCATTTATAGTATCCCTAGTAAGTGCAGAATATTTGCCCATAGTATATTCCTTTTTAATGACCATATTTTCCTCTCCTTTTTCCTAATCCAATCCATGTTCCATTTTCATATATCCAAAAATGGACTATGTAAACCCCATGCAGCACAAACCTGAATTGCTATTCAGAAGGATTCACCAAGGACAAACAAGCTGATTAAGGCAATGCCTGACTCTGCATCTTACCGTTTGCTTGCCACCGCTTCATCAAATCCCTGCATCGAAATATCGAATATCATGAAGAACCGTTGGGTTTCCACAATCGACCCGTAGGCTCACAATAGCTACCCTTGTTTCATCTGCACGTTACCGCTGTGACTCCCCGAACCCGTGACAAAGTGACCAATAAACATATGCGGACTCTACTTGGTGGGCTAACTCATTTTAGTCTTGTCTGATTGCGACTCGACTCTTTGTCTAGCTTTCACTAGTGCATCCTTGAGTTGCTGACATGCAGCAAAGAAGAAAAAGAAAATGAGCCTTTGTTAGTTTAATACTGTATTGTTTGCTTTTTCGACCTGCCAAGGTCTTGCACGTCCTCTTTCGGCTTTTGATGCTAGTACGTATGTAGTACTAAGCCTTAAAAGGAAATACAGGAAATATCAAAAACGAGCACAAGTCTGTGAAGAACCCTGGAAATCCTCAATATGCATCCATGGCTCACTAGCAAGACCATTTACTCAGGGGCTGATCATCGATTTGAACTTTCAGAGGCGATGACATGACTCGGTAATAATCCTCCCCTGTGTCACCAACTCCCTTGACTATTCTCTGAGATCTCTGTCAAACAGAAAGCAATATTCCCCCGGCTCAGACTCGCCCACGTACAAGAGAAAGCACGATCCAGTCGCAAGCAGAGTTCATACCACCGAGAAAAAAAAAACCGAGTATTGAAGAGTGGCTTGAAGATGCTATGGCAAAAATTGATAAACCCGTGAACATACCGGGGTTGACTATGCCCGAGAAAAGTCTAGACTTGCAACACTTGCTTGATATGGATAAGGGACTTGTGGAGACAGACGGAATTCAGAATAAGTTGAGAAATTTGAAGGAGACAGTCCACGGACAAGAGGAAAGACTGAGGAAATCCGAACGACAGAAGGATATAGTTCACGAAAAGATTACCAGCTTGCAAGAGCAGCTCAGCATGCGTGACTTTATTCAACAACACAGTGGGTTAAAAGAGAGGCTCGCCATGCATGAAAGACTACTAGAGATTGCGGACCAACAAATAAATACACAGCAAGAGCTCATAAAACACTTGTTTGACGCGCAAATCTCAACTTCACGACAACTTGCCCATATTAAACAAAAGCTTCCGCAACAACCTGAACAATGTGTGCAACAGCCACAAGTGGAAGAGCTCGAGGGGCAGCAGTCTAATCCGGGTGGAGTCAACAAAAGTACAGATGCTTCTGATTATGTCCTTGTCTCGGAAGATGAAGTCACCACCATTTGAACTCTGTGGTCTTGTGTTTGTGTCTTTGCAACGCGTGTTTAAATGGATTCGGTGGTTGCTCGAGCAAGACACCCTTAGCTTTATTTCTACTGTACTTACATTGCTCTAACTGTCTGGCAAATCTTTTTGATAGCTCCATACCAACCAGTACGCAACATTAACTGGAACGAGAGATTTGTTGTTATATATGCTGTTGTCAAATTGCACACAAGCTTTTTTTTATATCAATGTTTGGGTGCGTTCTCTTATCAAGGATAGCGTGTCTTTCAGTTGTGAATTAGATTTAATTAAGTCTAACTAAAAAATATCCTAAATCAGGATGGTTCTAAGATAGTATTCAAAACTTTTCATCCTAAAAATGTATTTAACCGCAGATCGCCATTGTCTTAATCTATGGTAAGCCACACAATTATAAGCCCCCAAATTGACCTACCCAAATATACAATGTCTTTATACATGCGGAAGAAACCATGCAGATGGGCGAAATCTAGACGGACAGGATGGCAAGATACATAGACCTGCATATCTTTATGCAATACCAGTAGGTGACAATAGCACTCAAAGGCAATAAGTTATGTAGAGCATGACATATGTAAAAGTCCACGGCAAAGATAGACAGTCGGGCTTACCTGAGAGATGATTTGGAATTTAAGATTTGGAATTTAAGCCAATTCCGTACAACCGGATAAGATCACATCTTTGCAGTATCAACTAATAATATCGGCCCGTATAGTGGATGTATGATCGAGGGCGACATTACAGGTGTTGATTGGTCCATTAACCCTAGCTCTAATGTCAAGTTCATCACAAGCAGGAATCTGTGATCCGCTGTCACATCTGGCGACGTATGTACATGCCAGGAAGGCGATCACATCTTGGCTCCGGGGCGGCAAGCAAAAGTACTAGATAGGTGAAGTCTGTACTTTTGCTGGGAGATTCAGCATCCGAAGATCATGCGGGGCCTGGATAGGTACGTATGTACTTTGTATCTGGATTCTCTCTGGAGGTGACCGGTAACGGTACTTTTTAGGAGTTCATCCACAATTTAGTAAACTTTACAAATGTATGTGTTCATGCATACAATCTGCCTTTTGGGTCTGAGGCTTGAGATCGTATTGGATGATCTTTGATGGAATTGACTTTCATTAGTCACTCTGTATAATGGTTAATAATATGTACGGGATACCTATACATCGCAGGTTATATGTGGAGAACTTGCTTATAGACGTGAAGTTATACGTTAACGCCCTCTGCATAACATCTGCCTGGAGTGAATCATGTCTATCGACCAACTGAACATTTGAATCATTATAACCCACACGAGCGAGTGAATTTTGTTGGTTACTTGGAAAATAATGGTACGGAGTTTATATCTCGAGGAGCTATTTACTTGAAGTCTAGATCTAATGAATACACTAGGCTGTGGGCTTTATTTAGCTAGGTAGGAGTATTGAAATGAGTAAAAGATGCAAGGACGAGGTAAAAAGGGTTGCTTAGCTATTGTAGGTTGGCTTCCAGGTCCCAAGGCTATAAATGAATTAAGCATACGAGGTTAATTTAGGTGTAATGTCTAAACGAAATACATACAACATTGTAGCAAATATTGTATAAGCGACACAGCATTAGGTAAATGATCTTGAAATATTTCAATGATATCACTGAGCTTCAATTAGCTTAACCCGGACTCATACGGTAGAATCCTGCAACAAGACGTAATACTGTACACGTGACTGTGATCAAATCAACATTCTTGTCTAGACCGCTGCAGGGGAATTTCACATTAGAGAATCCAGCATGAAGTAAGGCGACAAAGTACGGAGCAATTGTACAGGTCCAGCTGAGAGACCAAAAGTCGGCATTCGGCCTCCCGGTACCTGGGGCGAAAAGAAATAAAAATAAATAAAAAGAAGCATGGGAAACAAAGAAAGAGCAGGACTGCTCACATGATCGAAAGTAGAATCGATAGTGTGAGAACCCTTGCGAAAGATGAGATGTGATTCGTGTCCACTAGAACTTTTGTACTGTACCCGTCACCGCGGCACCGGATCCCTACCTTCCGCTCGCCACAAGTGGGTGTTAGGGCGATCGTTCCTGTTGGCGGAAATACTAGTACGTAGAAAGAGATCGTAATATAATACACGTTACCCTAGCCCCTTTTGATACCCATATGCTAATGTACTCCATATATCCTTAACTTAATACCGTGGAGCTGGAATTGTGGTTCCACGGTTTTGCTAATGGGTACTTCGAGAAAGAAGGATGATTTAGATATTTGATTGGTCCGCGGATATCCCGTTCAGCTGCCGGACCAGATAATTATTACTTGGGACATGGAGAGACCGGCTACGCATTAGGTACTTTCCTTCGGATACGTTGTGCCGATTCCTACAAAAGTACACCTGTCACTTATGCAGGCGTTAAGTCTCGACATTTAAAATGTCATTCCCAATGTTCCGGGATCTAGTAATACAAATCCATAAACTCTAGATCGGTAATTGTACATGTGGCGCTTTTGGCGGTGTTAACGACCAGTCCAAACAATAAGATTGAGGATTCAGCTATCCATGTATGTATTTTGGAGTATTTTATATATACTCCCAGCACTGCTAAGGTCCCACCAGTGTCCAGAATCAAGGGTCAAAAGTCCGACATGGATACTACGATTTCGATCAGCGATCCCCAAAAAGAGATAGTCAAAAAAAAACAAAACATTAACCGGTCGCGAACACATTTTAGCAAGGTGCCAGATCTGAAGCAAAGAATGTGAATTATATTAACGCTCCGCACAGCAATTAACCTCGAACCTTCTTGTCTCGGGGAGATTATAGTGAATCTATGATCTCCCGTCCAAAGTACATACGTACTACTATATTGTACGCCTCCTAAGGACGGCACCAGTGGCGCTTAGAGAGCAATAAATGGGGGTTAATTTTGATTAGGAAAAGAAACCTGCATTTATTCGGATCGAGCGGGATCGCGATTGCAATGGGCCTGGAAGCAATGGAAAGTGATATGCAAAGTACATTACCTACATTTTGATGTACTTTTTGTACTTAATCCTCCTCCGTACAGGGTACATTTTGTACAACCAAGAGGGGCATATTCATTTGAACCCTTGTTTTCGCCCCCCCCCCCCCCCCCACTTTGGCGCACTCCCCTTTTCCTTGATCCCTTTTCGATGTCATTGACGATCTAGAATTTGAGTGACGGAATCCCGCGGGATTGACCACAGTTGATACATCACACTAAAATTTCTTCCCGTCAACCATCACGGCACAAAAAGGGGGCCACCAAAAAAAACTCTAACACCAGTCTCGGGGGCAATTTTGCCCGAGAATCCTGCCAAATTTGGAACTGAGATAGGTCCAAAAGGAAGGTTTCCTATATGCCAGGAAGCATTTTCCGCTTACTGAAATTATTTTTGCCCTTGACTTCCGAGAGGCATTCGGCGCCACGCTTCAGCCATTCGGGAATCATGCTGTCAGAACCCGACAATTTGGTGCCGGAGCTGCAGTGCTGCGTGGATCATGGGCCATTGTGTCTGGATTGGGATGGTTAGCGTCCACCAGAAATCATTATCACAATCAGTTGATCTATCCGAACGCCAAACGCGGCTGTATCCTTGGGAGCCGATGATTGTATCTTGCCAAGTAGAACAGGTTCGTGGGTGTCGGATCTGTAAGCCGACAAGCCCGCCTTTGGTCGTTGCTGTGGCGGTCTTTGGGGCGGGAGTGTACAATCTAAGCGTTCGTGGCTGCGTGATAGACCAAACAAGGAGATAGTGTGCCGTAGAAGCTGGACCCCCTTGCTATTGGTCATGATCGGGAAATGTTGGGTATTATTCCGAGGTGATGCAATATTTTGCTCACTTTAGAATGAAGGAAATATCAAGGGTATCAAGAATGTGGTAAAAGCTAGCATATGATCTCATGTAAAATTAAGCACGAATGAAGCCCGACATCGTGGTATGTGCGTTCGGGTCGAACTATATCATACCGCAATCTGTGACCAAGCAGGGCTCGGCGAGATCTTAGAAGATCTGGTAAAACCGGATTACAAAGGGCGTTGACAAGCACTTCCCGCTGTACGGCGTTTGTTGAGTTGTAACGCGCTTCACCGTCTTTTTGCGAAGTATCTTGATTTTAGGCAACAATAACCGCGGAGTTCTGGATATCGATATTGGCTACATACACAATGTTGGACCAAATCGAAACCATCGAAAATCCTCAACGATCATAGTCAAACAGCTTACTGGCGGTGCAGACGCAAATGATGGGGCTGTGAGAACAATACCCCATGTAGGGCTTGCAGTCTACCGAGTCACTCTCGGGATGTCAGGGACGAGTACCCGAGGGAGAAATCGAGGCGAGACGTCAAAGCATCCTTTGCAGCTGGTAATGAAGGAAAATGCAGCCAAGAGACACACCGCTTGATACTGGGTATTACCAGACCAAGGGTCTTGATGCAGACACAGGGCCACTTCATCTCTGTTTTCCCCCTCATCTACACAAATTGGCGAGAATCGGAAGAATAACCTTGCAGGGGGTTCACTCCCCCACCAGACATGGATGATTCGGTTGGCTGCATGGGTAGAAAAATGGAAGCTCCCACTCACATGATCTTCGCCTCGATTTGAATCGGAATATGTATGAAACAAAAAGAAAAGAGAGCTATAATTTCCGTTGGGTCGCAATCCTTCTTCCGAACAGTCCGAATGGATATCAAGGTAGACACGACTGTCGCTGACGGAGCTACGGCAGTGCACATAGTCGTGTGATGCATGGCATGAAAAAGATGACGGACTTTGAAAAAGATGACGGGCTTTGTTTCCGTGAACAACGAGTCACCGCTCCATCCGCGTCAAAAAAAACACGTCGGGCTCCTTTAATGTTGGGTTGCGACTCGCGTATCCGACGTCTCGATTATCATTGTTCAAGCGCTACCTCCCTTGTAGCCAATAGTCTCCCTTGATGGAAAATGCATGCATTGTGATCGACGTAAGTATTTCATGCATAGAAGGATTTGTCAAAGACGCTGTCAGACCCTGGAGCTTGTATTAGCCCATTGTCACCTGGGCACGGTCACTCTTGTAAGTGATGTTTTTTTTTATTATTCGTTAATTTGTTCGACTCAAAGGCAACATTACGATCTGGTTGCATCTTGTATGACTGGTTTTGGAAAAGAAAAAGGCCAAGGGGAGTTTTGCATGTTGCAGGAGCCCCAGTCGTGTTTACAATGTCTTGCTCACACCGTTCCTTGACTTTCCTCCTTTGGCATATCCTAGTTACCAGGCGCATCCCTGAGAGGCTCAAGCCGCTTGTACTTAAGTATGACGTTTTATTATTTTTTTCTCTTTAGATAACTTCTCACCGTTTCTTTTTACCCACTCCCTCGCGTGGCGCCAGACAACTTTGTACAAAGTCTCTAATTTACGAAGTCGATATTGAGTCGAAGACAAATAATGGTCCCACTTATTCCCAGCCCCTTGGGTCTTATGCAGTCCCTTCTTGTTGGGTCGGCACTTTACCGACTTTTGGATAGATTCCATTCGAAGATCAAAAGCCAAAAAAAAAAAAAGAGATCCAAAGTACAGAGATCAAGAATGCAGTTCATGCGGATAGCGGTTCAGCCATCCGCTCAGCTTCGCCACAATGGCTGATAATCTTCTAAGATAAGTTATAAGGATAAGGGGGGGGGGGGAAGGGGTGGCATTGTTTTCCCCTGTCGCCGATCAACGCCTAACGGCCAATAGATGGGGCTCGGGAGTGTCGGTGAATTTCTGACAAGCTCAGCTGATTCTCTGGAGTCTTCTCGAAGGTCTCAAAAATAAATCCACATTATATATTACTTGTACGGTGTGTATGGACTCCATCGGGGTTTCAATAACTTCTTTTTCTATTTCATACTAACCCATCTCCGCCGGTACCGGGATGATGGGATTAGAACTCTGAAGTTTCGGGGACTTGAAAACCGGTAACCTTCAACAATGAGACAATAGACGGGATCTCAATATTGGTGTTTCTCTTTGAGATGGCGGAGTACACCGCATCTTCTACTATACCCTAAACATGGTTTACTTATGGGTTGACCCAATCAGCTGGTTCCTTTAAAGTACACATTTTCTCCTGATCATCCTGTGGGTAATGTTTCCCTTTGAGTGGAGAGTATGACGATATGATATTTAGAATAAAAAATTGAATATTAAAAATTATAAAACATAATGTATTTTGAGAGATATAGATCTATCATACTAATTTCACACTAAAACCACAGCTCTGGGAATAAAACCGATCATACCGGGTGAAGTATCACTTAGCCCCTAATGCCGTTCCCCGGGGGCCCGGTGCTTAGGATCGTGGGTCCTTTTTGGATCTGGGGGATCTGTCGAATCACACTAGAAACTTTCTTTTATTTTTCTGAACTCTTTTTTTCTTCTTTTTTTTCTTTTTTCTTTTTCCTTCTCCTTTTTCCCTAGAATATGTTTCCCTGTGGAGTATAGAATCCAAATAAACCAAGTGAAATAAGTTCAATATACATGAAATTTATGCCAAATATCAAATATATCGAAAGATGACGATGTACCAGTTACTTTCTCATTGGTTCCCCCCCTTTGCCCGGGGAGATTCTTCCGCTTCCCCCTACATCTTAAACGGAAATGTCAGGTTTATACAGATCCACATAGAAGTATTTTAATTGAAATATAAAATACATGAAAAAATAAAATAAAGAAAAATATCTGACCCACTTCCTTTCGTCTCTATCCTGATAATGTTTGCCAACTGCATGTACAGCTGTAACCGAAATGTTTAGTTGTGATGCTGAACGGTTGACGTTTTAGTTCTTTGGCGCCTGATCAAATTTCTATAGACCTATCCACTTCTATAGATATAATACTTCCCCTTTCCCCTTATTTTTCCTTTTCTTCGATCTACTCTTTAAACTCTCCGGACTCCCTTGCAGCTGTCTCATACGCAATCTTCCCGCCATCGGATCTTGATATTTCCAACCGCAGGGGGAGCAATGCTGAAGCCCTAAAACCAAAAGACGCTGCTCCTTGCTCCAATTACACTATTACATTCTCTCCCTTTTACACTCCGGGGAGATTAAGGAAACAAAAGCACCTATTATCTGGTACTTTGTTCCTGTTCTTCCTATATTTTTTTTTACTTCTGAGCTATACAATTTTTTAAAAAAGGAAGCGGGGTGTCTGAAATCCCCTGTCTGCTTTCAGATCCTCTCAACGCTTTCAATTATCTCAAACTTCACAATGTTTTCACGACCAGCTTGTTTACAGGGTCGTCGCACCCGCAATGGCTCTGGCGATGACTTCTCTACATTCCCAATCCGGCAGCTATTCGTGTTAGGTAAGTGTTGGTACTTTTGTGCGAACTATGGAAAAACAAAGATGGTGGTAGCCGCAAAATGCGCCGCCACATCTATAGTGATCTTGATTGCTGACGGAAAGTTGTAGCACTCGTCCGAATCTGTGAACCAATTGCTTTCATGTCAATTTTCCCATACGTGTATCACATGGTCGAATCATTCCATGTGACGGATAACGACCGCCAGATCGCACTGTACGCTGGCATGATCACCTCCTCATTCACCTTTGCTGAGTTTTCGGCGGGCATGTTCTGGGGCCGCATGAGTGATCGGATTGGTCGTAAGCCAGTCCTCATCATGGGCCTCGTGGGCACGGCCATCAGCATGGTGGTATTCGGATTTGCGCCCAACCTGGCCACGGCGATGATTGCGCGCGCCCTGGGCGGCATGTTGAATGGAAATATCGGAGTTCTCCAGACGACGGTTGCGGAGATTGTGACGAAGAAAGAGCACCAGCCACGAGCTTATTCGATTATGCCTTTCGTGTGGTGTTTGGGATCGATCATTGGACCGGCTATGGGCGGCGCTTTGGCCCAACCCTGCGACAACTACCCGGCGCTCTTCGCGCGCAGCACGCTGTGGGATAAATTTCCGTTCCTGCTGCCCAACCTCGTCTGCATCACCGTGCTGGTTTGCGGAATTGTGGTCGGTTTCCTGTTTTTGGAGGAGACGCACCCGGAGAAGAAGCACCGTCGTGACCCCGGCCTTGAACTCGGCCACTGGTTGGTCAATCTGTGCTGGGGCTCGCGCGTGCAGCTTCCCGATGATTCCGACGTCAAGGAAAAGTACTTTGATGCACCGCCTGGATATGAAACTGCTGAATCATCGCCTTGCCTGCGTCCTGTCGATGGCATTTCGGCCGATTGTGACTTGGAGGGGCAGAAGGGCCCTGCGCCCAAGGCCTTTACCCGACAAGTCATCCTCGCTATAGTTGCTTACGGCATTCTTGCATAGTGAGTTGGCTCCTCCCCCCGCTCTTCAAACGCCACACCCCTCTGCCCGATACGTCTAAAAAACGATTTACTGACATGCATTGCCCTATTCCAGCCACAGTGTTTCCTTTGATCAGCTGATGCCAGTCTTACTGAGCACACCAAGATCCGATGACGACGTAGTGCTACCCCTCAAGTTTACCGGCGGCCTGGGAATGGCCACGAAGACCATCGGGTTTATGCTCGCCGTGCAAGGCGTGTACTCGATGATCGCCCAACTGTGGCTGTTCCCATTTGTCGTCAAGCACTTTGGTACTCTGCGCACCTTCCGCTTCGTTTTGTTTGTATGGCCCCCTCTCTACCTGGCTGTACCCTACCTAGTTCTTCTTCCGGCCAAGCTCCAAGTGCTTGCCGTCTATGTGTCCTTGATCAGCAAGATCACATTCCATGTCATCGCTTTCCCAGCCACTGCTATCCTCTTGGCCAATGCCGCCCCGTCTTCTAAGGTGCTGGGATCTATCAACGGCGTTGCCGCCTCAACTGCGAGTCTCAGCCGAGCCTTTGGTCCGACCATCACCGGTCTACTCCACTCCAAGGGTCTCGATAGTGGATACTCCGTGCTGGCCTGGTGGGCATGCGGTCTTGTCTGCCTGATCGGCGCCATCCAAAGTTTCTGGATGGAGGAATCTCCGGAGCCTGAGCGCTTCAAGACTCGCCAGTCTGAGGTCAGCGAGTCAGAGATGAAGCGTGAAGCGCTCTCGGACTTCGGAGCCCAGGATCAGGACTCTGGCGAGTTGCCAGAGGAAGAGCAGCGGTTGCTTTCCTTGCGCTCTAGTGTCGACCATGACTTTGACATTTCGCAACTCAACTTGAATGCTGTCGACAACTCCCCCAAGCCCCAAGGCATTGTCGCCCACGATACCAATGTCTAAAACTGTGAAGCTTGCTCGTTTTGCAGCATCACCTTTTACTTTTCTCTCCACCCTTCTGGAAAGGCGTCTTCATTTTAGCGCTGAGGCGCAAGTTGGTCTTCTTTTTTTTATCGTTTTCATTTTCATCTTTTTTTTTTTAATCTTTCCCCTCATCATGATACCTCATTTTGCTATTTCATTCTTATGACTTTTCTTTGAGACCGGGAAACGGCGCAATTATAGATGGTTGCATTGCATATGCAGAAGCATAAAATTTGGGTCTCTTCTTTTGTTATCTTGGAGCATCAACAGGTTATATTATGACTATATTCATGTGCATCTGGGAGGCTATTGTTTTTTTTTTTGTTCTTAGCTTTCGATCTGAGTTCTCTCGATCATGTCTTTGTCGGTTAGAGTATATTACTACGGACTTGCTCAATATCACCGGCCGTCATCTTCTCTATCAACGTTGATCATCTCGTAGCCTTACAGTCTCCTAGTTTATGTCACTACGAGACCAAGCACATGTGTTTTCCAAGAATGTCCGGTCTGCCAATTACCCCCGCACAGCATGTTTGATAAATCTCCTCATCCCCGTTACTTTAACACAATCCCCATATGTCCAACGCCTTAGTAGATCTGACAGAGATGGAGGTCCACCAAATCTCCCAGATGAAGCTATATCAGATTCAATTCAAAAGTCCCAACTCCTGTTCAAGTCCCAGGTCCTATATCTCTCGGCTTATCAGAGTCTGGGGAACCCGAGAGTTCTCTTCCCGAGGGCAACTCAATTTCTCTCAACTCCACCAAAACACTACTTTGTACATTTCTCATATATTCTCATTTGGTCGATGGGCCTGCGCAATTATTTCAGATAATCTAATCCCGGAGTTTTCAAGCTGCTCCCACATCCCCCGTTCCACACCAATCTCTCTTTCGATTTGGTATTTGATAAAGTTGGCACCAGAACCTCCAATCGCCGAAGAAAACACTGTCATAGATGAAAATCAAAAGTACTTCGTGATCTTATCATGTTGATCTGGTCTGGGAAGTTAGACCGCATTTCCCGACCGCAGTCCCCGCAAAACACCACCAAGAGATGATCGCGACCTTGCGGCTCTCACTCGGTTCTCACAATGCCTAACCCTCCCTCCCCGCTATCACCAGTCTCTTCAGGCAAGAAGAGACCACTTCCCTCCGACACTCCCCTAACGAAAACCGACCCCGCGACCAATCCCTCCGCCCCGGCGGCTGTGCCCTCCACCTCACCCGCCCATTCCACCATCACCCCCTCGTCCGCTTCCTCCTCATTCCGCAATGTCTCCGCCTGTAACCGTTGTCGATTGCGCAAGAACCGCTGCGACCAGCGTCTCCCGCGCTGCCAGTCCTGCGAGAAGGCCGGCGTGCGCTGCGTCGGATACGACCCTATAACAAAGCGGGAGATCCCCCGCAGCTACGTCTATTTCCTGGAGTCGCGGGTGGCGCATCTCGAAAAACAATTAGCGGACAACAACATTGAATTTAAAAAGGTCGTCGCTTTCGACGAGGAGGATGCCATCAAGGTCGAGGCTGATGGCGACATCGCGCAAGCTCGTTCCGGTTCTGACGGTCAGATCGGGGAGGGGCCTGCGGCAGAGAAGAGGCAGTGGAAGAATTCATCGAAAGACGACGCCGGTCGACTGGAGCGGAAAGGAGAGGGGGATAATCGCAATGCAGACGACGACCCCGCTAACGAGGAAAATTGGCGCCTGCATAATCTAGTTTCGAATATCGGCATGGTCTCTGTACAAGGTACTTCCGATCCACGATATCTGGGGTCGACATCGGGCATTTCGTTCGCCCGTGTTGTCTTCGCTGCGGTGAGGAGCTCACTCCCTGGTAATATGCCGGAACGAGCGCAGGTTCAAACGAGCGATCGATTGCCTCAGAGTGCTGCTGGTACTGCTGGGGGAGGGGGTAGTATGCGCGATTCCTTCTTTGGACTGCAGACAAGGCCGATGATGAAATGTGCGGCCTTCCCTGACCGGGAGCTGGCCGAGCGGCTGGTCGATCTTTACTTTGAACACGCGAATCCTCAGATGCCGATTCTCCACCGGGGAGATTTCATGGAGCTGTTGGATAAGACCTATTTGTTAGAAGAGAAGAAGCGCTCTGCGCGCGCGCTTTATGTGCTTAATATCGTGTTTGCTATTGGTGCTGGAATCATCTTTGATGATAAGCCTCAGAACTCTGATGATGAGAATCGCAGTAGTCGTGACCAGTCCTCGTCTGGGACGAAGAGACCAAGACTCTCGAGCCATCAGTACCAGCCAGAGGAATACCATGCCTCGGCAATCGTTCATCTGGAATCGTTTCTTGGCTCGTCCTCCAGCGAGGGATTTGGTGGGTTGGAAGAGCTGCAGGCAGTGCTCCTTCTAGCCAGTTTTGCACTGTTACGACCTGTTGCACCTGGTCTCTGGTATATCGTCGGTGTGGCCACGCGCTTAGCCGTCGACCTTGGGCTCCATTACGAGGATGGAGCGGGCATTGACTCTGCAACGAAAGACGGTAACCAAGCGCAGTCACGGATCGATGCTCGTGAACGCGGACGACGCGAATGGATACGCGATATCCGCCGCCGGTTGTGGTGGTGCGTCTACAGCTTTGATCGTCTGGTAGCCACGTGTGTGGGACGACCATTCGGCATCAGCGATCAGGCCATCAGCACAGAATTCCCGTCTATGATGGACGACAAATACATCACTAAGTCCGGTCTTTTGACACCACCGGACGGGGCCCCGACCTATAAGCATGTTGCGTTCCACTATTTCAAACTGCGTCTTCTTCAATCCGAGATTCACGATGTCCTCCAATACCAACAGACACGCGCTGTGCGAAGGAGAGGCCCTGGTGCAGTTATTCTCTCTCACGCCGAGCTTTCCTCCCCTTTCCTTCAAGGCTTTGACTCGTTCCGCTCGTGGCGCCATGATGTGCATCGCCGACTGGTTGAGTGGCAAGATACTGCGCCGACACGGCCCGAAACAGGCGTGAGATTTTCCATTGAGTTGCTTGAGCTGAATTACTGGCAAGCCATAATTTTACTGTACCAGCAGAGCTTGACGGTTCCTGCTGAGTTGGCAGGAGAGCTTACTCCTGCGGATGATGTTTCTAGTCCGTCCTTTTCGAATCCCGACGAGGGTGACGAGGAGGATCATGTCTATCTTAATGTTGCTGAGGCTGGTCAGAAGGTCATTCGTATCTATCGCCAATTGCATAGAGTACGCTTGGTGAATTATACCTATCTTGCTACGCATCACATTTTCATGGCTGGTATGCAGTTGTTTACGTTTTTAACGTCGCTCTAATACTGACAGTCTATTAGGAATCTCCTTTTTATATGCCATTTGGCATTCGCCTTTGGTTCGAAGCCGTCTAGTAGGTACCACCTACCCTGGAATTTAGGGTTGCGCTTATTTTAACATTTCCTTTCCTTAGAGCCTCGATGAAGTCGACTTCACTGTTCTCGCCGCAACTTCTGTGCTGGGCGACTTGATGCACAAATGCCCACCAGCCGAAGCATGCCGGGACGCGTTCGAGCGCATGAGCAAAGCAACCGTCCAAATGTGCCTATCCACAACCGGATTCGGATCACAAGTAGATGTGAGTCGTGTCACATCCAACGCCGGCAATCAACTCTACCCCGGCCGGCCGCGGCAGCCCATGGACCAACGACCCCGTGGAGGCCTGGGGCAGGTGCGGCGAACGACGCAGGCACGCCCATCTCGTCCTGTCCCCAAGTTTGACATGAACTTGGCTGATCTCTTCACCGATAATACCGCCTTAACCGACCACCCTCGACCCGAGAGCAGACCCGGAGGGCCATCCTACCCTCAACCAGAATCGGTGGCCCCTAACTTCTCAGCAGACCAGTCTTCCCGGTCATATGGACAGCCCAATCCATCGATGGATTACTATCTCAAGTATGAGAATCCAAACTCTCCACAACCGCACCCGCAGTTTTACTATGCGAACTCGCCGCAACACAGTGGATCACCCGGTAGTAATACTCACACTCACGGCTTACCACATGCCGACACCGAGGCGCCGCAGGGGATGAGTCTTGATTTCTTGGATTTTGGGTCTGGCGATGCCGAAGGCCAGGGTACTATGGAAGGCGAAGCTAATCCTGATTACAATATGATGGCGCCGTCTTTGGGTCACAACCTGGGTCAAAATGTTGGCATCGATCTTGGCTTTGGTATGGCGATGGATTTCCAGCATGACTGGAGCGAGAATCCCAGTTATGATCTTTTGGAGGGCTATTTCTTTGGTGGTTCTGGGGCTGGCGCACCCGGAGGGGATATCTAGGATGTCTAGTGTCGTTTCTTCCATTTCCTTTTGTTCGGTGTCTTTTACTTCCCTTTCATCCCGCCTGCCCTGCCTCTTGCCTTTTCCTAGAGGACTTTAGCAAGGGTTGTATAATTTGGCCCGTGTCTTTTTTTTTCCGGATACCATATACATATATACGGATATATACGAAAGCTCTGCAAGGAAAGTAAATAATTCATTTCAGGGTTGACCAAAGAAGAATATAGTATATGTTGTAGTTTGCCTTGCATTGATATCTGCCTCGGGCAGCAACGTCAAAACAAACACTCCCGCCTTTTTTTTTTCTCAACCCAACACATCAATTCTCTCTCCACTTTGATCGTGGCACTCACATAAATCCTGTAGCCCTGTTGGCTGCTTCACTCCGATCTGCGCTTGGACCCAACTGCCTGATCTCGACATCAGGTGCCCACCTCCGGTTTTCTACTCAAAGTCATTTCTGCCTACCCCCCGCATCACTTCCGGTCTCACTGAAAAAGACCATTTTCACTCGCCGCAGACCCGATCAATTTCCGCATTGTTTCTCTCAAGCCGAGCTTCGACTAGCGCTTTCGGAGTGGATCCTGCGGCCAACCGAGACCGCGGAGCATACTAGAGGCTCTGCCCTTTCTTTTTCCTCACCACTGAACTGAACCGAGTCGCGCAACATTTGCAATATTCTGCAACACTTGGCGAGTGAGACTTTGAGTGTACTGGGATTGCAGGACATAGCATTTGTTGTTCTGCTTGCCTGGTCTTGTTCAAAAGGCTCTGCCTTCGTGGAACGTGCTTTTTTACCTTAACTTACTTGCAGGCCGACCTTTTATGACTGGACATGCGCGGGACCGCCGATCATTTACTTTGAAGACCGATTATGCCATTCGAGCACAATACAACCCCATAAGTTCGCCGGAAACCCACGAACAACATGGTGAAATCGGACGTGCGCAAGGATTACTATGCTGATCTTGGGCTCCAGCCCAGCGCGGAGGCTGAAGACATCAAGAAACAATTCAGGAAATTAGGTTAGCTTTCCAAAAGCTATGTCATCAAGTAATAATCGGGGTGATTGCTAACTTGGAGCGAAAGCACTCAAATACCACCCAGACAGGAACCCAGGACGAGAAGTCGAGTTCAACGCCAAATTCCAGGCCATCCAGGCTGCCAATGAGATCCTCAGCGACCCCTCACAACGACTGAAATACGACACCGATCGTCTACGCGCAGGCTACGGCAAGTTCTACGGGCCGGCCAAGGCAAATACCCAGCGCAAAACACAACCCCCCACCTATCCTCCTCGCCCTGCGCCAACCGCCTCGGCGTCTGCAAGTTCACAGTATACGAAGCCGGCCCCAAGTACCCCATCGGCTGGTGCTCGACGATACGCATCTCATGCGCGTGCCGGTCCGCAACAATTCAAACAACAGGACAACGAGCAAACAAGGGCTGATGCATTCCGTGGCTTTAATAACATGAGAGGAGCCCAGGCACCTGGATGGCAGGGATTCGATCCTTCAACTGGTCGTGCTACTGGTGGTGTCCCAGGTCCTGGGGCACAGCGTCATCCCTTTGGAACTTCTGCACAGTCCACCCGGCCTAAATCTGCCTTCGAGGCCCACAATTCCCACTCCAACGCACAGTCTTTCAAGAAGAAGCAGGGCTTTGCGCCAGGGGTAGCTGGAGGAGACGAACCGATGGCCCGCAACACCTCTGCCTATAGCAATAACAGTCGGGCTGAGCGGATGAGCAGCCAATACTTCAAGCCCGCTGTACACCCGACTGCGAAGAAACCGGCATCACCTGAGCCACCTGAACCCAAATCTCGCCATTCATACACCCCGGAGTTCGAACGACCCAGTAGAAGCTACGCCCAGGCAGGCAAGGGTGAGAAGACTTTCTTTTCAAGCACTGGATTAGGACGTTCCTCGACCATGCGTACCCCGTCGGGTTCTTCCCATCAAAAGGCGCATACAGGTAAAAGCAGCCCTACCTCTGGCAGATCTGGGAGATACCGTAGCGCCAGCCCCTCGCCCAGGCGGAATCCCAATAATTACGACTCTACCAGCTCGAGTGAAGGGGAAGAGACTATGCCCAAGCCGAAGGCCGTGCCAAAGAGTCGACTCAGGCCACATCAAAAGTTTGCCGACTTCTACAACGGAGGGACAGCAAGCCCTGGAAATGGTATGGACTTTACTTCCTTCCTCAGCGCACATGGGCTTCAAGCCTTCGAGTTACCAGATGGTAGCTACGTACTCCGTTCGATACCTCGGAATTCTCCCCTTAATCAACGTACCCCTGCTGACAATGGCGGCCCCAAAGGACACACCTCGGATAGCGCTGCTTTCCCAAAAAGCTCGTATCGATCGGACCAGCAGGCTAACCCATCGGATTCTTCCTCTTCTGTCAAGTATGTTCGGTACACCTACTCTCAAGTTGTTCCATTTTATCTGACAGATACCGGTATTAGCACCGACACGGCAAACAATGCGCAAAGACCCCAGTCTGCTGCATATGGACGTAGCAGCACAAGTGACTTGCACAAGAAGTTTTCTGCAGATGATTGGCGGGATCATTTGGGTCAGTTTGATTTCCTGGGTTCTGCCTCGCCAAGCAAAGAGTCACTTCCGAGGTCGCCTATCTCGCAGAATCGGGGGCGTACCAATATTCGAAACGGACCGACACAAACATCCTCGACTAGATCGCCACTTCCGAATCCTTTCGGCCCTACACCTCTATATCAAGCTCCACAGTCACCACAGCAACCACCAACCCCCTTTGCACAGGCAAAATTCTCCGCAGATTCATGGGCTGAACAGCTTCGAAACCTCTCGTGGAATGTACCAGAGGCCGAGAAAGCGAAACAAACAGCAAATGCTGCGCCGCCTCGTAGCCCCAAGAAGCAGCCCAGAACAGGCACCAAAGTGCGGAGCACTCCGCAGTCGGCAAGTGTTGCTACTGAAGCAGATGAAGCTAAAGAAACTCTTAATGGCCAGGCCCCTGGGCTAGCCGGGACAGTAGCACCGGACGTTGAAGAGATGGACCTTGATGAGGACCTTCCTACTCCTCCAAGTATGCTGCCCAAAGCTCCAGTCGGAAGGCCAAGTAGTGGCAGCTATCCCGATTTGGCTTCTCAGGCTGTGCCAGATGCACCTCCGGTAAAGAAGCCCAAGCCTCCTCAAGGCACAGACTCTCGCACTCCTCTATTCAACCTCGATAATCTCCGCAATACCGTACCATTCACCAACCCGACCGGTGGAGGCATCGAGAACCTCGAAGACTTCCACACCACTCTCCCCTTCGAATCCCAAGCCAAGCAGCAAAGGACTACAAAAAGCGACATCCGACCCCGTGTACTTCAACTCCCAAACCCTCCCAAACGACCCTGGGCCCCGAAACCAGTCTTCCTATCACCAACCTCCAAGCAACTCGTCCTCCCCCGGGAAAAATGGAACTGGTACGTTTCCGCAATGGGAACGTATATGCACGAATGGAACGCGTTCAACAGCCGCATGCTCACGCACTTTAACGCGCGCCAAGAAGCGAACGAAACCGGTCTCGCGCCGGGCTGGATCAGTGCCGTCGGAGACTCTACCCGTCTCAAAATGAACGGTGTAGACGACGACAGCACCGATGACACAGTCAAGAACAGTAAGAATTTTGATGATTATCACGTTGACGAATTCCTCGTCCCTGGTACCAGTAAGGGCGGCTTTAGTGCCTATCTCCGTGGTATCGAGGAGGATATCCAAGTGCGTAAGCATTGGGATGTTGCCTGTGAGCTGCATCGGGAATGTATCCTTGATCTTGGACGATTGAGAGAGTGGATTCGAGATGGTGGGAAAGTGGCTTGAGTTTTTATTCTTTTCATTGGGAAGTCATTGCTGAAGCCGAACTTGTGTTTTCCGCTTTGGTGTTGGGAGACTCTAACTGACATGTTTCCTCCCTTCTGGCGTCTCTGGTCTTTTTTTCACTTCTATTTATGTCTTCTACATGCCCCCTTTTTTTTTTCTTTTGCGATGCATAATGACTTGGTGTTGTGAATACCCGGGGATTTTTATCACACATAGATATGCCTGACTCTTTCGGGTTTCTATTTCATGGATTTGTTGAGTACTAGGAGGATTGTATGTAGTTCAAGATTAAAGTCCATACATCCCACATGGGATGTAACTATTCAAATGTTTGTTGTCTCCTTTCTTGCCTCAATTCATTCCATGGCTTTCTTTCCCGTTTACCTTCTCTATACTTGGTGACACCGTATATTACTGCTGTTGTGGCCCATGGAAACCATCTCCGACACTTGAATCCTCACTTTCAAATGATCTTTTAATTTTATCTGTCATTGTCAACGTCAGCCTGAGCCCTCCGATACGAGATATTGTTACAGTCATCTCGACACAAACATTCCGTAGCTTGTTCCTACTTCTAGAGGCCTTGATCATACGCGTGCAACTGTACTGCTTCGCCACAGAATCTTTGCAGTTCTAGCTTGAAACTAGAAGGAACATTCAGACAGTCAAATGCACCTTCTGCCATGCTATAAAGAAGCTTATGCTCTTGCTAACCACAATCTAGAAAAATCTCTAGATGTGTAGTTGTTGGTTATTTAGCCAAGAACACCAAGATCAGATTCTGAATACTAGATGCTGAATAGTATAACCAAGAGCTGGCTAATATTCATATGGCCCACGTGCATACATTCGTAGTTAATAACAGACCAGGGGCTAGAGAAAGGAGTAGAGAGAGCCTCTTCAAGTATATAATAATGGTCGACCACTTATACGGCCTTGTAATGTCTTTTTAATAGTCTCTCTGGTAGTCTTCTTAGATATCTCCTTCCCTTCTCAGTTTCATAGGTAGACGACAGACCTTAATTTGTGAAAACGATGTATACCCTAGGGTGGAAATGAATAGATGCTAACAATAGTACTAAGACATCAAAAGATCAAAAGCTTTATAGGGCATTTACTGCGAAAAGTAGATAGATTGGAACCCTTGCCCTAACCCTTGCTGCCTGGGGCGCCAAGGCACATTCAGGCATTAAGGTCAGGCACCACGGCTGCAACCATGCCCCGCCACCCCGCCGGATCTGTGATAGCGGGAGTTCGCGGAAAATTGGTCTGACTCACTGGCAAAGGAATCAAATTTTTTTTTAAAAAAAATAGCTCAATGTAGTATAGTGAAACTGGAATAGTAAAACTAGAAAATCCCTCTTTGCATCAAATTGTTGGTCAAATTTGTCCAGAAAAGTCACACCGGCAAACCTGATCTTGGCCCCGCTGTTGGCTCCAGACATATTCTCTTTTGCCTTCGAACCTACCCCACCATCCAAAGCAATTGATCGTGGAATTTGTTGACATAGTTAAGCGTGCAATCATGGTTTCAATCGTTTTAGGCAGTCAATGGGGAGATGAAGGTAGGAACGAGAACCCCCCAGGCATGGGACATGCTAACGAATGAACAGGAAAGGGGAAGATCACAGACATGCTGTCGCAGGATGCGACACTTTGCTGCCGTGCAGCTGGCGGACACAGTACGTTCAATTCGCTTTGCAACTCCTCTACCCCGAGTTTAAGTTGTCAAACGGGTCCAAAAGGCAGAGAGTGACTGACCAAACCGTCTTTTTCAATTGGTAACAGATGCTGGCCACACCATTGTCCACGACAACGTCACCTACGACTTCCACATCCTTCCTTCCGGTCTCGTCTCGCCGAAATGTATCAACCTGATTGGTGCCGGCACCGTCTTCCATGTCCCCAGTTTCTTCAAGGAACTCCGTGATATCGAGGCCAAGGGCCTGAAGGGTGCCGCCCAGCGCATCTTCGTCTCTGACCGCGCACACGTCTGCTTCGACCTGCACTCCGTTGTCGATGGTCTTGAGGAGAAGGGTCTCGGTGGCCGCAAGGTCGGCACCACCGGCAAGGGTATCGGTCCCTGCTACAGCGACAAGGCCGCACGCCGTGGTGTGCGTGTCGGCGAGATCCTGGACGAGGCCACCTTCGAGCGCAAGCTGCGCACCCTTGACACCTCATACCGCACACGGTTCGGAGATCTGGCATACGATGTCGAGGAGGAGATCGCACGATTCAGGGTACGCATGAATCCCGGCTATTTTCTCCCTTCCATCAAGAAAAAATTCCCATGCGACAGCAGAAATGACAAATCCTGGTTTTTATTCCACCAAAAACACTCCTAACAATCTATAGGAATACCGCACCCTCCTGAAGCCCTACATTGTCGACCAGCTCGAATTCCTGCAGGAGCACAAGAACTCCCCCAACACACTGGTCGAAGGCGCTAACGCCCTCATGCTCGACCTCGACCACGGCACATACCCGTACGTGACCTCGTCATCGACCGGTCTGGGCGGAGCCGTGCAAGCCCTTGCCCTGAACCCCGCCAGCATCAAGTCCGTGATCGGCGTGGTGAAGGCTTACACGACGCGTGTTGGCTCTGGACCTTTCCCTAGCGAGCAGCTCAACGAAGCCGGCGAGAAGCTGCAGAAGGTTGGACGTGAGTTCGGTGTGACTACTGGTCGTCGTCGTCGCTGTGGATGGTTGGATCTTGTCCTGTGCCGCTACTCCCACGCTATCAACCACTACACCGCGTTGAACTTGACTAAGCTTGATATCCTTGATGACTTTGATGAGATCAAGGTTGGTGTTGCTTATATCTTGCCATGTGGAAAGCGCACTACGGGTACTTTCCCTGCGGATCCTAATGTCATTGAGAAGATTCAGGTTGAGTATGTTACTTTGCCTGGATGGAAGTCGAACACTATGGGTGTGCAGCGTTACGAGGATCTGCCTCCTAATGCTCGTGCTTACATTGAGTTCATTGAGCGTGAGATCGGTGGTGTTCCTGTTAAGTGGATCGGTACTGGTCCTGCCAGAGAACACATGATCGCTCGTGATTAAGTGTATCTCTTGTTCCTTTTCTGTTTTGTTATTTTTTTTCTCACGAGTAAGTGACTGTTTCTTCGTTCATAGTGCGATATACTTGGGATGTGTGATACAAAGTTTCCATTTTGTCCCGTATCCAACGATTTAGATGTCTCGAAAATGGATCTGGTTAGAGGGGGAGGCAGTTACCCAAGTCTTTTCCTGTTTATGATGTTTCGGTAGATGTTGTGTCAAGATTAAAATTGAGTCCTGGATAGAACAATAGCAATGACTAGAAGATATTGTACATGAAATCAAAAAGTGAAGGTCAAACCTCCGTATCCAGAAAATAATCCCGCAAAACAACCAGTAGAGTATAAGACAATGAGGAGAGAAGTCTAAATTAGAAACACAGAGCACCCCAAGGGTGTATAGTACACAAAGATAGTTCGAAAAAAGAGATGCGAGAACGCCGCCCAATGCCAGAATGGTTGCTTCTTCTTTTCACTTTTGGCTGATCTGGTCTCCCCGGACAGCAACCTTGCTATCCATGAAAAGGCCAGACCAATTATGAATGCCAGCATGGCTGGCAAGAGTTGATCTCAGATTCAACTCTGACTTAGAAACGGAAAGAGTCATCGCCGAAGGAATCGTCGAAAGAGCGGCGACGAGATGAGCCGCGATCACCACGGTCACCACGGTCACCGCCACGGGAGAAACCGCCACGGTCGCCGCCGCGAGAGAAGCCACTACGCTCACCACCACGGGAGAAGCCACCACGGTCACCACCACGGGAGAAGCCACCACGGTCACCACCGCGAGAGAAACCGCCACGATCACCACCGCGAGAGAAGCCACGGTCACCACCGCGGGAGAATCCGCCCTCGCGACGCTGGCGGGAGCCGTCACCCATGCTGACACCGTCAGCTCGGTTGAGACCCATTTGTTGGGTCAATCTAGGGCTGAGCTCTGGAAGGCTTTGCATCTTGTATCCAATGGTGAACATCTGGTTGAGTGCCTGGATGGCCTCTCGTTTGCTGTTGAAGTTTCCAGTGGTTGTGCCAAGTTGGCCCATGTAGGACTTGACCTTGGTAGCACCGTCACACTGGGCCAGACCCTCGGTAATCTTGTTGACGATCTGGCCAACTGGTGTGTCGTTGGAGAAGGTCTGGGAAAGATCTGCGTCGGCGGATTGCAATTCTGTGTCCACCTTCAATGGGAGACGACCAAGACGCTTTCTGTAGACATCTTGTTCGGCTCTGTGCATGAACAGCCAGCCTTCACCTTCCTTGCCAGCACGGGCTGTGCGGCCGAGACGGTGAATGTAGGTCTCACGATCACGAGGAACACCCACTTGAACGACATGGGTGACATCAGGGAAATCCATACCACGAGCAGTCACGTCCGAAGAGAACAAGATACCCTCGCGGGCCTTGCGGAAGTTGTCTGCGCTGCGAGTGCGGAGTGCCTGAGTGAGACGAGAGTTGATCTCAAGCATTCTCATATTAGCCAAGGAAGACTTGCGGAACTCGGGGGAGCGAGCAATGGCGTTGAAAGCATCAGCGGAAATCTTGGTCTCAGCAGTGGAGTTGAAGTAGGCGATAGCCTTAAAAGGTCGCAGCTGCTCGCCGTTATCCCGGCGCGCTTGCCAGTTCTGAGCGAGCTCGAGAAGGGCGGGCAGACTGTTTTCCAGACCGCGCGTGTATACAAGCTTCTGGGGCACTCTGACGTGGGTGGGAACTTCATCTTCACGAACGGTATTGACGTGTTTAAAGTTTGGCTTCAGGGTCTGACGAACCATCTGCATAACTTCTCTGGGGACAGTGGCCGAGAACATGAGCGTCTGGCGGTCCACCTTTGTGGGGCTGGGAAGGAGACCCTGGATCTCTTCAACATCGGGAGCGAAACCCTGGTCCAAAAGGCGATCTGCCTCATCGAGGATCAGAGTGTTCAGCTTGGGGGCAGAGACA